AAAAGACAGACAATGGCAAATGTTGGTAAGGATGTGGAACAAGTACACTCTCAAACATTGCTGATAAAAAGTATAAAGATAATATAAAGCAAAAGATGAAGCAGTTTCTTACGAGAAATAAAAATATCTACAAAGAGATTTAAGAGTAGTCATAGCATAACCCATCAAAATGCAAATATATAAAACAGTAGTTGTGTTCATGCAATGGAATTACTTAGGAGAGAGCTTAAGGTAAAGTTTCCATTGTGAAAGCCTAATTAAAAAATATAAACATAATATTAGAGAACAGAAGAAAACCTCAAAGAAACTAAAGAGGGAAAAGACAATATTAATTGAACAGTGGCACAAAAAAAGTAAGAAAATATTTAGCAAGTTAGAAAAAGTTCTTTTATATATACAAAATATAGTAGCTGAACCAAAATATTCCATGGGGAGATTGGAAGACAAAGGAAATAACCCAGAAAATAGAGGTAGGAAAAAAGGCAATATGAAAAGGAATCTTTGATAACCAATCTAGCATAATATGATCAATAATATTTCTAGAAAAGAAACCCTAAGAGAAAATTTTTAAAAATTTCCAACAGAGCTGTTTTTTTTTTTTTTTTGGGCGGGGGGTGGAGTGGGGGTAATACGTATTGAACCCAGAGGTGTTTTAACACTGAGCCACTTCCCCAGTCCTCTTTATCTTTTATTTTAAGATAGGGTTTCACTAAAATGTTTAGGGCCTCACTAAATTGCTAAGGCTGGCCTGGAATCCTCCTGTCCCACTTCCCTAGAAGTTGGGATTACAGACACACACCACCACAGCACCCAGCAAAAGAGCTACATCTTTTATCTTTAAACTGAAAATGTCATGCCTATAATCCGAACTACTCTAGGGGCTGAGGCAGGAGGATTACAAATTTGAGGAGAGCCTTGGCAATTTAGTGAGACCCTGTCTCAAAAAAACAAAAATAAAACTAAAAGGGCTTGAGATATAGTAGCTTGGTTTAAGAAAACAAACAAAAAACCTTACAATAATGGCAAAGACAAGTTCAGACCAGCAGAGAGGGAAATGCTGGATTTGGAGCAGGAACCTCTTAGCCAAACATACAAAGAAAACTAAAACAATTTTGTAATTATTTACACTGGGGGAAAAATATTAAAGAAAAAACAGAAACAATTATAAGCACGCTATGGCCCAGGGGTAACAAGACTTTAGTCTTCATAAAAAGAGATTAAATTATATGAAAAACCTATACTATAATGATGAAGGAATCGAACAGGCATAATAGTATTCTCTTCTACCATAATTAAGCAAATGATAATGTTTAAAATTTCCATACAGGCGTAGTATTCAGAAATATGGAAGTATGTTACATTAGAAAAAAAGTTTATAGAGACATGACTGACATATGTATCAGTTTAAGACGAGTATTATTTGACTTTTTAAAAACAATGTATATGTTACTTTAATATAAAACTTCATGTTTGAATAAAAGCAAAAAAACTGACAAAAATTAGCACCACCTATTTGCCGGGCACTGGAAATATAAGAGTGAATAAGACCAAGTTAATTCCACAAGTTTATTTCCATTGAAAGAAACAGAACAAGTAAGTAAATAAACATAATATGATTATGGATATAGAAAAATATTATTCAGAAAAACAGTAAAGACACAGAGAGTGTTAAGACAGGAAGAGTGCTGTTTTTAATAAAATGACAAAGAAAGTCTTCTAAGGAATGGGGTGATCAGAAATCTGAACAAATTAATGGACTGAACCATGCCAAGGTGTGGATAAATAATGTTCTAGAAGATTCTGGAAGACAGGGAGCAGACAGATAAGTTTAAGTTTGGTAAATGTAAAACCAGCAAAAAGTCCAGAATTAAGAACAGAATAAGCAAAGGGGAAAAATGTAAGAAATAAGATTTAAGAGGTTAGAAATGTACAATAACACTCATAAAAAGATGGACATCAAGCTGGATGTGGTGGCACATGCTGTAATCCCAGCAACTCAGGAGGTTGAGAAGGGGGATCACAAGTTTGAGGCCAGCCTCAACAACTATGCGAGGCTTTCAGTAACTTAGTGAGAAGGGGGAAAAAAAGAACTGAGGATATAGTATCAGTGGTAAAGTGTGTCTGGGTTCAATCCCCAATATCAAAAAAAAAAAAAAGGAAAAGAAAAAGAAAGTTACATACCAATGCTCAAATGATAACATGAAATTCACCAATAAGAAATGACTAATGAAATTAATGTTATTGTTATTTGATTATGAAAATGAACAACAAAAACCTCATTTCATTTGTCTTTCTGGATTATACTAGGAAAAACTGATGAACAGTGTGTGTAATCATAACAGAAAAAAAAGGACCAGGCCTATAAAAGTTAAATGAAATGTCAAACTTTAGAGGTAAGTTTAAAGATAGCCCCCACAAGTATGTTTTATGAAAGTACACACATACACAAACACATAAATATTTTATAAAATAATGTTTGCAAAGGCAATCAGATTTTGAAATTATTTCAATGATAACTGTGTCAAAGTATTAACCTTCTAGCTTAAAATTAAAATAATACAAATTTGCAAGGATTAATTATGTTTAAATTGCTTTACCTAGATAATACATACATGTTTTAGTATACTTATTAACCCCCAAAGATATTCTGTTTAAAAAAAGATGCTTGGGGCTATAAAATGCTACCAAACCAAAGAGGAAATTGAATTATCTTGGCACTGATGCCCAGGACACCCTCCCTCATTCTGATTTAACTGGTCTAACATTGGATTGTGGGCAGTATTCTAATACACAACCCAAACTGAATACTTCTGGATTAGGTGTGTATTGTGGTGAAAATGGAAGATACAATCCCACCCTGGACTAAGATATAAATCTCATTACATCATTCTCCTATTTTAAACAATTATCCAAAGACCAAACTCTTCAATGGCTCTCACTGCTTGCTCTACATATTGAGGCCCTCTGTGATTTGGTTCCTAATGTTAACTCTTTACTCTCATCTCCTCTAATTAAGCAACAAGCAAATCAATATACTATACAGCCAAATAAAACTATTCACCTTCCTTAAATGTACCAAAGTATTTCATTTTTTCCCTTTTGTATTAATTAGTCTTTCTACAGAGAAGAGTATGCCCATTTTACCCAGTGTATCTAGCACGCTTCCTAACCTACTACTCATCTTTAAGACCAAGTATACCTTATTCTGTAAAGTATTCCAGGAACCACCTAAGAAAAAATGATCACTTCATTCTTGATGCCACCTACATTTTTAGAAATACTTGTTAAGCAATTTACCATATTGCATTGTTCTATGTCTGTCTACTAATCTTTGAGTGCTTCTAAGAGCATGTGAAGTTTGTATTTTTTTGGTTTGTTTTTAATTTTTCTATCTCCTATGCCTAATTCCCAAGACTGGCTTATGGACTATGAGTAAATTTTGCAGAATGAGAATAAAATTAAATAACCATTAATTCTAAATTTTCAACAAGAAAGTTAAATAAAAATTCTAAGTAGAAATGGTGATTTAAGAGGCATAAGCATTTCTGTGACTATAAAATGTAGCCCATGAATGTCCTTTATTTTCTATATTTTACCTTTATATTTTTTACTCCTTTCCAGTTTCAGCCAGAAAGCCTCAAACATGATAAATGGCAGTAATACATCAGAAAAGGTAGAAAAGAAAATGGAATAGGGTGCACAGGGAAATCAACTACTTCAGTAATTTCTATTTGTTAAGCTAAGGGGAATGATAAGCAGCAGTGATTACTTTATTAATCTTTATGCTTTCAATTATGTATTTAAACACTCCTTAACATAGTCATTTCTTAGAACAAGATTCAGAACATGTAAGCTGTCAAAATAATAAGTATTAAATTGGTAAATAATATCCACAGATAGTTAAATTCTGATCACTTTGAAATCACTTGAAAAGTGATATTTACTTACATATATATGGCTACCCATGTTGAGTATATGTTATCCATTTTATCTATATTTATAATCTGGAAAGACTAGTGTTCTTACCAGTTTAAAGAACAAGTGAAGCATCACACATTCTCGTTCACGACTTCTTAAATCCAGAAAAACGATTTATACATTAACTAACAAGTTGCTAACAGCATAAAAAAAAAAAAACAAAACTGCTTTAAAAATTATGCCCCTCAAAATGAAACTTGATGAATTTAAAACTGGTTTCAATTACTAAGAAATCATTCTGCTAAAATAATCCTTAAAACTTTACTGTTGCCCCCCCCCCCCTTTTTTTTTTGTCTGGGTATTTTCTCTCTTCACAAGACACCACATCTCATTCTGACTCAGAACAGGTTTTACAACTTCTTGCCCCTTTGGACTTGCAACTTCTACTTGTCTCATAACTTGTTCTCGACTAATTACGGACACGTAACATGTTACACAAAACTTAAACACTGAGGGTTTTTTTTTTTTTTTTTTAACGCCTAAGTAAGAGTGGGGAGGTTAGCATGATTTCCGGAAACCGGTATAGAAGAACTCATTCCCTAGTCTTTAAAAGCAAGCGAAATCGGAGAACAAGAAGGTGCAAAGGCTTACACAGCAGGATGGAAAACAAAACACGAGTTTAGAAGAAGGGAAAAAAAAAAGGAAAGAAAAAGAATTTTAGGTTCCAGGGCGAACGCTTATCCTGGGGCAAAATACAGACCCAAGGATGCCTAATTGAAATTGAACAGGCCCTCAAACATGCCTCCAGGCATCGTTAAGTGTTTTCCGTTTTGCTTCAGTAAAATCCAAAAATACTGTCTGGATTCTGGGAGAATTCTGGGAGAGACAGATTCTGAATTCTGTCTCTCCTGCACATTCTCCAGGTCTAAAATACCGAGTTTCTGCCCGCCCCCTGGACTAAGTCACTTCTCTGCGTCTAAGAATGTTTCGGTCCACCAAAAGCACTGCCTCCACTGTCCCCTTTCACGGGTCGGACCCCGCTGGCTTGGACTCCAGCCGCCGCGCAGCTCTATCGCTCTCACCTTGGTTACAGAAGAGGCTCCACAGTTTAGCGAAGATCAGCCCCATCATGAGCACCTGGACGGGCCGCGGGGTCCCTCAGCAGCAGGTGCCGCTGCGCGGGGTCCCCCAACGCGGCGCTGGCTGTGTGGAAGCGAGGAGAAACCGGCTGAGACCGCGCCGCGAGGACACTGGTTGACCCAGAAGCCTCGACCCGCCGCTCAGACACTGACCAGAAGGTGCCTAGTCGAAACCCTACCGGATAGTCCTTTGTTTCGAGTCCGCTGAGCCCAACGCCGACCCGTAGTCCCCTCAGTCTGAACCCACCTACCCACCAGAGCCTCTACCAGTCCCAAGCCCCGCCTCCGCTCCGCCTCTCCCCCCATCCCAGGACCACCCATCGCCGGAAGAACGACGCGTGACGACAGCGCGCTTACGTCAACCCACGCGTTCGACGTGGCGTTTCCTCAGTTTCACTTCCGGTAGGCGGAACCCGAAGTGGTTAGAATGTGGGAGATTATTGATTGAGAGTTGGGGATTTCCCTCTGTGCTCGCGTGTTTTCCCGTCACCGTTTGGAAAGTTGATGGGGCTCACTTTACTGCGTGGTCTAGAGTTTTGTCTGGAAACGAGGAAAAACCTGTTTCCCTGGTTTAGCAGCCACTGTTTTGCTATTCTTTTGTTAAGCTGAAGTGTAAAGTTTTGTCTCGCTGACTCTTGCGGTCACTTGGACAGGCAGTGTTGGGGTTCTGCCACGATTCTTAATTCTAAATAGGATTGATTGGGAGACGAACTATGGAATACCGGCAGTCACGGAGTTCAGTTGGTGGCTCCTCCCCCCTCCCCCCAGTTTTGCCAAGCATCAGGTAGGTTCCTGGAGCCTAAATCAAAATCTGTGCCTAAAACAATTGGAAAAGGAGAGCCTCAGCTAGGTGTAATGCGAGGGTAACTCCCTTGCTTACTATGCTCAGGGCCATGAGGGGAAAAAAAGCCTGGAATGAGAGAAAACTGATTTTGAAACCAGTTGACCAAGCAAGCTTTGTATAAGAGACTTTGAACTTTAGTCCGGAGGTAGGGTGGCCCTTTAATATGCTAAAATATTTGATCTCCTGTACAAGAAGAACTTAACACAAAGTCCTCCCAATGCTAGGGTTCTAAGACCCTTTTAAAACTTGCATGCAGCTGGGCGCGGTAGTGTGTTCCTGTAATCTCAGTGGCTCAAGGCCGAGGCAGAAGGATCAGAGTTCAAAGCCAGCCTCAGCAATTTAGCAAGGTCCTGTCTCAAAATATAAAAAAGGCTGGGAATGAGGCTCAGTGCTTAAGCATCCCTGGGTTCAATCCTTGGTACCAAAAAAAAAAAAAAAAAAAAAAAGTACTTTCTTCAACTTTATGGTATTAAAGGCAAGCTTCAACTTATATAGGAAAAAAGGGATGTGCTGAATCTTTGCAAATTAATTTTAATGACCATCCTTTTGACTGTAAACTCTCGTGTGTTTGTAAACAGAGGCTTAATCCATTATATCCCTGAGTCCTTTATAAAGAACACTTATAAAACTTTAATTGAACAGCAATAATGTTTTCAGTTTTTATGAGTGTCATATGGGACACCAGGACATAATGCAATGCGCTAAAGGGATATTTCTAGTCCTATTTTATTGTTGAAACTTTAGATTCTATAACAGCTTCTTTTGTTGTTAGACAAGAAGATAAACCACATTTTACATATTTCCCCCCTGGATTTCAGATTTCTAAAAAACAGTTAACCTTTTTAAAAAGAACTATCTTTATATAAAGGGAGATCTTTCAAGCAAAACTTTATATAAATTTTATTTTGTAAAAATTTTCATGATAGCCTAATGATATTTTAAAGACAGTAATATGAATTGTTCTTGCACTTTTAACAAAATGGAATTACTAAACTGAGCAGTGCTGTTGGCATTTTTATTCATTTTAATTCTTTAAAATATTGGAAAATTTAGGCTCAGCGTGGTGGAACATGTCTGTAATCCTGGCAATTTGTGATAGAAGGATAGCAAGTTCCAGGCCAGCCTCAGCAATTTAGCAAGGCCCTTATCAACTTACAGACCCTGTCTCAAAATAAAAAAATAAGGTTGGGGATGTAGCTTGGTGGTAAATTGCCCTTGGGTTCAACCCCTAAGAAAAAAAAGGCTGGGTGGGGTGGGTGGGTGGGTTAGGGAGACAAAGAAAATATTTGAAAAATTTATGTTAAAAACTTTGTTTTCTTCCCCCCCCCCCACACACACTTTTCCATTCAGTTACACCCCCAACCTATTTGTTTTAGACTTGGTCTTGCTAAATGCTGAGGCTGTCCTCAAACTTTTGATTTTTTTGCCTCAGCCTCCAGAGTGGCTGGGAATACAGGTTTACAGCACCATGCCTAAATTTTTAACACCCTTTCTATGAACAGTTAATGGGATAGCTCTAACATTAGTATTTTTTTTTTTCCATTTAAAAAAGTTATATTTACAGGGTTTGAGGATGTGGCTCAGTGGTAGAGTGCTGCCTAGCCTGTGTGAGGCCCTGGGTTCAATATAAAACACTGCAACAGGGGCTGGGAAAGTTTTATTTATAGGTCAAAGCAGTGGCATGTGTTTATAATCCGAGCCACATGTGAAGCTGAGGCACAGTGATTGCAAATTTGAGGCCCAACAAGGCAATTTAGTGAATCCATGGCCTGGAACTTGCTATCCTGTCACAAATTGGTAGGCGCCCATGTCTCAGTGCTGGGGATGTAACTAATAAATAAATAAATAGTTCATGGTATAATGTTCCTGGGTTCAAACCCCAGTACCGCTGGGGGCAAAAAGAAAGCAAGAAAACAAAAAAGTTTTACTTAAACTTTTAAATTTGAAATTTTTACTAACTGGAAGGAAGAGAAACTGGCCCCAACTAAAAACTGAATATTATTGGTTTAAAGAATATATTGTATATTATGTAAACAAATCATGCTGATATACTTTCTGAGTTGTTAGAAAAAAGACACCTCAGTTCACATTGAATGTTTTATTAACTGTAAATCGTAGTAGGAATAATTGTGAAGAATTGAAGTGGAAAATTGAAATTATCTATTTTTTAAAATAGCCCTTAGCAACGTAATTTCTCCCTGAATTTTTAAAAATCCCTTAAAATCTTTAAAACTAATTTTGGTGTAGTCCTTGATCTAGAGGAGATATCAAATTCTATGGAATAATACTATTTGAAAATAAATATATTCTGAATACAGGAAATCAGAAAAGTCCTGATAGAAAACAACCGGATGAAACTAAAGCCAGATTTACAGATAGGTAGTTAGTGTAGTTAGGTAAAATGGGTCTAATATCCAGTAAGATGAATAAAACGGAGGCCAGGAAACCAGAGCATCACTTGGGGAAATTGAAATGTTAATGTCCGGGAGGCCCAGAGCCCATCTTAAGGAAATGTTAATGAAGTAGCTCCCAGCAAACAGGGAAGTGCTAATCAAAGCTGCTCCAGGCCCTTCCTGCCCAGATTACTCCTGCAGCCCACCTATCTCCCACTTACATTCTATCACTGAAAGGTAAAGGAAAACAAAAGAGTGTGGGAAAGCTGAAAGAAGACCTCAGCTATAAAAAAGGGAAGACCTCGCCCTTCCATGGATTCTAACTTTTGGGTCCCCTTCTTCCTCTGGGAGAAGTCTTTTCTGCTGTCCTTTAATAAAGCTTCTACTTTCCACTCTACACTTGCCTAGGCATGCTTCTCTGGTGTTATACTTAAGCATTCAGGGAAGCAAGGACTCCTCACTGTTAAACAGTGGTAATAAAGCTGTCATTAGGATTATGACTTTTTCATAACTACTTATTGTAAATTACTTCATTGAATTAAAAGGGAGCTCCAGTAAAATCTCTACAAAGTTCAACAAAATAAAGAAAAAAAAACTGAAAAAAATGTGTAAGTGCATACCTAGAACAAAACTGAATTTCAATGAAGGAAAATATTGAACAATTCCAGGAACTTAAAAAAAAAAATCTAATATTTCTTAGAAGGAACTATTGTAAACTACAGATAATACTTAGAAGAACTAGCTACAGCTAGAATTGAATTCAATTTATTACTCAGATCAAGCGTTCAAGAAACAGTGTATTCTGCCAGCTAGGAATAAATCTTTAAAAAATAATTTGAAAAACTCCTCAATCTTTAAGGTAATGTCTATTGTGATTTTAGTGCAGTTGGTCAGCTTTCAGATGAGTTGGGATTGATAGATTTCCCATCAGGAAATTCTCTTTTGCCATATGGCCCAAGAAATCAATATAATTTCATTAATAAATGTTTGTAGAGAGACAAATGTTTTTTAGATGGTATAGGTTATACAAAAGTTAATATTTCTTCCCTATCAGTAGGAAGAGTATGTTGGTAAAATCCTAACAAAGTTCCTTTATGTTCACCAAGGGGACCCATAATATCTTGAGTTTCAAAACATATAAGTCAAATATCCTTAGGTCTGTGACTTTGGTCATGAGCCAATCAATGAGTTTTATCATCTCTTCTGTATTTACAGCTAAATATGATCAGCCTTCCCACATTTAGGAAATGGGTCTCTTGAACAGGTGCTTGAAAGCATTCACATGAATACATGTGGTCTGCAAGGGATCTGCTGATTCTCTCCTTGATCAGTAGCAGTCACTATGGCTCATAAATTACCTGTGCACAGATTTTTAAAGCTGATCCAATCTCAAATTACCTAGGTCCTCTCCTCTTTAGAAACCAACTGTAACCCTCTTTCCTTTGCTACAACCCCCATTCCTTAGGTTGGAACCTCTTACACACATTTCCATAACACCTAAAACTTGCTATCTTCACTCCTCCCGAGATAGAAAAGTTAGTTCTGGTCTATCAGAATTTGCTTCATTTTAGTTTTTCCCTCCTGAGTGATCTTCAAATACATGGATAACACTATCTAACATTTATTAAGGTCTAACTTTGTTACAGTAGTGTTTAAAGCACTTTACCTAATTTAGTTTTCAGTAACAATATCAAGTAGGAAAATGAGTTACAAAAACTATAAACTTTCCTGAGGTTACAAAGTGTAATTTGAACTCTATCAAGCCTGGCACTAGAAATCACATACTTAACAATTACAGAGAGATGGGTCACCCAAGAATCCTGATAAACATCACACTTAAAAGTAATAAAAATTTTATTTTCCCGAATCTGTTCCTTTCTCAGGTGGGAAAGATGTATTCACAATAAGGCAGGCAGGTGCTAGGAGGCTGGGCGTGGTTCTGCACACGTGTAATCACAGCTGATACAGGAGTAGCCTCCTTTACAGATTAGCCTGGGCAATTTAGTGAGACCCTATCATAAAACAAAACGGGGAGGGATGGGGCTTTGAGCAATGGAGGGGCGCTTGCTTAGCAAACAATTTCATGAAATCATAGGGGGCTGATGCGGCCAAATAAACTGGCCTCATCCTATTCTTGGAGGTCACCCAGAAGAACACTGATGGGCTGCCAACCTTATTCAGGCTAGGAACGTCTTCCACTCAATCCACGCCAGTCCACACATCTGGGACGCAGGGCTCCCTTCAGTCTCTCCCCAAAAGCCCTGTCACAAGCACAAGAGCCGCCCGCACAGGGCCCCGGGTCTCTGCAGTCGTGACGTAATGTAGATTTGCGGATGTCGATTGGGTAGTCAGAGGGGAGGGGTGTGCCGCTGATGACGGAAGTGACGCAGACCGGAAGCGGGTTTCCACTGCGAAGTTGGGGGCGCGGGTTTGGAAATTAGAATATAAGGCTGAAAGCAGCTGCTGCTGACAGCCTTGTTTCCAGTTTTCTTTTTTTTTTTTTCTTTTTGGGGTCTATTTAAGTATTAATTCTGTCACTAAGGCTTTTTCCTTAGTTGTCTTTGCAAAGCGAGTGGCATGGCCTCGCAGTGACTTCCCCGAGTGACCCTGGAGGATCAAGGCCGGGTGTGGTGGAGGCGAGGAAACGGCTTTTAATTTAGCTGAAACTCGGGAAACCAAGGACTGTCCTCCTCATTTTGGAATTTAACTCGGCAGGATCGTCGCGATTTCCTTGAGCACCTAAAGGTCCCGGGACTTTGTGGGTTGCTATTCATTGTGAAGATACTGCACACTGTAACTGGGACGGGAAAAAAAAAAAAAAGTTTCTTTTGGAAAACTGAACACGGAAAAAAAAATGCCGATTTTCCCTAAAATATCTTTGAGGCCTGAGGTTGAAAACTATCTTAAGGAGAACTTTATGAATGAGGAGGTGGGTCAGACAAATACATTTGAAACTTTTTAAAAAATTCAAATATTTACATATCCTTCAGGAATAGAAAATCTAAATAAAAATCTTTAACTTTCTCTTTACCATTCGTCTATCTGAATATAAGAGAAAAGCCAATGTCTTTTTCACAGGAATTAATGCTTACTGAGACAGGAGATGAATAAGGCATGCGTTTTAACTCTTAAGAGTGGGAAAGGGGGGAAAAACTTATCCTCATATCAGAGAAAACATTCGGTTTTTGGTTTTCTGGGATTGGCTTACTTCACTTAGCATAATATTCTCTAACTCCATAGTAGTTATGTCACTGAAGGGGATACGAGAATAAACAAAAGATCCCTGTCCTCAAAAACTGAAGTCCAATATAGAAGAAAACGCCTGTTGTCTTGGAGCGCTGCCTCTGACACTTAGGTTAAAAGGATATTGTAATTTGTTGAGTGTCCCTGTGAATGTGATCAGTTGTGCTAGATGATCTACAAACTCGTGCATTTTAATTTTTACGACTTTTTTTTGGCAGTTTTTTTTAATATGCAGTACTGGGAACTACACCCAGCCCTTTAAAAAGAATTTTTGAAATGGTCTGCCTAAATTGTAGAGGCAATTGGGATTCTTCTCCCTCAGTCATAGATTACAGGCAGCTGTTCTCCTTCTAATAGGTGAGAAGACTTGGAGTCCAAGGAATCATGTGACTGATCTAATTTAAAATCTGAAGGCAATGAGCTGAGGTGCAATGAAAAAAAAAATTCCGATTTAGAATCTAAAGCAGTTGATTTGCTTTGTGGTTCTCTGAGTACATTAATTCTCATGGTTTACCTTGATTTCCTCTTCTGTGAAAATAGAGAATGGCTGAAAATTCTGTTTGGGGTGTCACACTTAGGTGAAAGCACCTGGAATCCATTTGGTGCATAATAACTCTTCAAAATGTTAATTGTTTGCTAATGGCAGTGTGTAGCATAGAAGTCCTCATTGTTAACTCTTTGTTAGCAAAGGCTGTGCTCTATTCCACTTTACAGTGTTTACTATAGTAACTTCGTTTTTCTAAATCTTTTGATTTTTCTAATCAAATTAAAGTCACTTAAATGTTAGTTGCTTCTTTTTTGAATATGTTAATAAATCCAGGACCTTTTGATTTGATTTTTGCATTTTCAAAGATTAAGGGACTATACTATATGGAAAACATTTTCATTTCAAGGGAATTAAAATATAAAGTGTGTGTTTAAAGAAGTGGAGGCATTTAGCAATTATTTTCAGCAGTTGTTTATTCTAATTTGTTATATATGACAACAGAATTCATTTCAATTTATACTATACATATAGGGCATAATTTTTCATGTCTCTGGTTGTGCACGAAGTAGAGTCACACCATTTTATCTTCATACATGTACTTGGGGTAATGATGTCCATCACATTCCACCATCCTTGTTAATCCCATGCCCCTCCCAATCCCCCCCCCCTTGCCCTATCTAAAGTTCCTCCATTCTTCCCATGCCCTCCCCCATCCCCATAATGTAGATCAGCATCCTCATATCAGAGAAAACATTCACATTTGTTTTTTGGGGATTGACTTACTTCACTTAGCATTATCTTCTCTAACTCATTTTACCTGCAAATGCCATTATTTTATTCTCTTTTAATATTGAGTAATGTTCCATTGTGTATATATCACAGTTTGAAGGGCATCTAGGTTGGTTCCACAATTTAGCTGTTGTGAATTGTGCTGCTATAAACATTGATGTGGCTGTGTCCCTGTTCTGTGTTTTTTTTTTTTTTTTTTTTTTTAAGTCCTTTGGGTATAAACCAAGGAGTGGGATAGCTGAGTCAAATGGTGGTTCCATTCCCAATTTTCCAAGAAATCTTCATACTGCTTTCCAGATTGGTTGCACCACTTTACACAGTATGAATATGTCTTTCCCCTCAACACTTATTGTTGCTTGTTTTCTTGATAACTGCCATTCTGACTGGAGTGAGATGAAATCTTAGAGTAGTTTAGATTTGCATTTCTCTAATTGCTAGAGATGTTGAACATTTTTTCATGTATTTGTATTTGTTGATTGATTGTGTATCATCTTCAGTTCTTTGGCCCATTTATTGATTGGGTTATTTGTTTGGGTGTTAAGATTTCTGAGTTTTTTATATCCTAGAGTTTAGTGCTCTATCTGAGCCTGTGATAAAAATCGGCTCCATTTTGTAGGCACTCTGTTCATCTCACTGATTGTTTCTTTTGTATTTTCAGCAGCTTTTTAAATGAACATTCTTGTATAAAATCTTTGTATAAAAGATTCAAATATCTTTGACACCATCGCTTTTTTTATACCCACTAACTACATGATATTACAAAAACAAAAGCCATCCCTTTGCTTAAAAAAAAAAAAAAAAGTACTGAAAGGAAAGAAATATTTACCTACAGAAAGTAAATATTTTAAGACCAGTGACTTAGTAGGCTGGTGAGTGGCTTATGAAGATTCGGAGTAGTCACAAAAAGGGAAAATGGGTGCCTTAAAAAGCTTTAATGACAAGGGTACCTGGGTGAGACTTTATACCTTCATTTCTGACAGGTATGTTTGCTACTCTGCCAGTCTTTGTTGGATGATATCTATTTGTTATATTTAATACTACATTTAAAAGCTGATACCCTGTAGGATCTTTGACAGTGAGTATATAAATGATATTTATTCTGTGTATATTGATATTTCCAGTTGCTCTAGGATATGATATTAGTAAATAACACTATAAAACTGATGGAACAGTTATTGAAGTAGAGTGAAATCCTGAATTTATATGAACAGATGTATCAGATATTAATATTTTGAAACTGTTACAATGTTTTTCTAAGTCCTTTATGTCAGGTATTTTGTTAGGTGTTTATTACCACAAGTAATAAGAACTCCAAAGTGTTGTGTTTTTCTTAACATTGCTAACATAAAACAATACAACAAAATGAAAGAGAACTAAACAATGGTTAAAAGATATTTCATTAGATGGAACAAATGTATAAGCATATTTCCTATATTTTTATTTTGATGAAATATAAACATTCTTTTTCCCCCCTGCAGGTTTTAGCTGTTTCAAGTAAACAAGATGCACAAGAAAAACTTGAAGCTCTGTTAAATCACCTGTCACATCCTCCATCATTCACATCTGTCAGAGTAAATACACATTTAGCCTCAGTACAACATGTAAAAAGTCTTTTAGTAGATGAACTTAAGAAGGTTTGTGTAAATTTTTTGTCATTATATCAAATTACATTACTACCATGTGTCATGTTGGTCCACAGTAAAGCCCAATGAATGGTATAATAATATTGCAGTCTTATAAACAAGAAAGTTGAATAATGAATGTTAAATTACTCAAGCTTGCATAATAAGTGGTAATGCTACAAATTTGAATCTGGCACTTCTCATTCTGAATTAGATGAGGAAAATACTTTTAAAATAGAACAAAAAGACTTTTGTGTTGTCTTGACAAAATATTTTTGGCATGATACTTCTGTAAGTGAAGACAATATTATAAAATGACTGTTTTTGGATTTCCAGCCAGAAAAGTAGTATCTTATTTAACTTGTATTGTCTTCTTTGCTTTCAAAACAGTTATCTAGCAATGGTATTCATTCATTTCTTCTTTTTCCTTCAATCTTATTACACTATTGAATGTTTCATGGTCTCTTTTTTTTTTGTTTGTTTCATGGTCTCTTTAGGAATCATTTGAGAAGTTTCATGTTGTGAGAAGATAAGTATATAAGAACAAAACAATATAATAAGACAGAAAAAGTAATATTTAGAGTAATAACAGGGAAAAATATAAGCAGTTCATAAAATGACTAGGCTTCTTAAATGACTACTCTCATAGCCATGTACATATATTTTTGTCTAGTAGAAAAGAAACTGTAATGAAGCCCATCTGAGGTGTGTGTAATTCAAGTAGATTAGATTGTTTTCATTTCTAACAGATTGTTCCAACAACTTGGGTGTTCTAGTATCGCAATCTGATGGAAATCTCAGATCTCATGGACTAGGATTTTAGGACAGTCACTCTGAGATTTGGGTCCCTTTCTTTAAAGGTTAGGATTGAACAGTAAAGCCTGGGTCATAGGCACTAGATGGGAAACTGTATACCTAAGTCTAGTAAGAAAGGGGACTTAGAAGAACTAAGTCTAGTTTTGACTATTCTAAATTTTCTATTTCCACATTCCAACTCCATGTGTGTCCTGCAGAGATGTCCCAAGTAGTATGGTACTAGATAATTTGTCATAAATTTCTCTGGAACATATATTGCAATTCAAAAATTTTAAATTTCATATGGCTGATAGGGTTGTGAGGAAATTGGATGCTTTGTAAATTACAGCTGGTAATATAAGATGGTGTAATCTCTTTGGAAAACAATTTTGGTAACATCTTTAACACAAATTTACTGTGCAGCCCAGCAATTCCATTGCTATGCATCTACCCCAAAACAAGTAAAAACATGGCCATACATATTCTTGAACATGACTATTCATTGTGGCATTATTTACAAGTCAAAAGGGGATAGATTCAAATATTTATCAACTAGTGATGGACAAATGTAAAATATTCATACAGTGGAATACTGTTCTATAGTACAAGTAATTAATCAATGTAATAAAGTAGATTAACATCAAAACACTATTGATAAATGGGCTGGGATTGTGACTCAGCGGTAGAGCGCTCCATTAGCACGGGTGGGACCCGGGTTCAATTCTCAGCACCACATAAAAAGAATAAAGGCATTGTGTTGTGTCCATCTACAAAAAGAAAATTTCTCTCTGTGTCTCTCTCTCTCTCTCTCTCTCTCTCTCTCGGAAAAAAAAAAAAAAAACAGTATTGATAAAAATGAGACATAATATTACTCTATATGAAATTTCCAGGAAAGGCAATGGGATTGAATCCAGGGGCACTTAACCACTGAGCCATATACCCAGCATTTTTTTTTTTTTTTTTTTTTGAGACAGGGCCTTGCTAAGTTGCTGAGACTGGCTTTGAACTTGTAATACTCCTGAGTTACTGGGATTACTGGCCTGTGCCACCATGCCTGGCTCAGAAAAGGCAAATTTGTAAAGAAAGATTAGTGGTTACCTGAGAATGGGAACAGGATTTGACTGCAGATCGTCAAGTGGGATTTTTGTGGGGTGGTATACATTATCTAAAATTGGATTGGGTTGCTGATTGCACAATTTTTAAAATTTACTAAAAAAAAAAAAACCATTAAATTTACTGCAAGTTATTATATATTTAAAATGGGTGAGTTTCTGATATGTAAATTATACTTCCTAGGGCTATAAAAGCAGGTGATATGCTTGGTTTTTTGTGTGTTGCTTTGGTAGTTAGTCATATGTATGATTTTATGAAAGTTTTGTTTTTGTATCCTCTTAACAAGCTCCTGATAGAAAAGGAAAGAAGAAAACCTTTGATTTGGGAAGGATTGATCTTTAAAATATTTCTATGCTATAAAGCAAATAGTATTTATAAAACAAAAAGAAATGACACCATTTATTATCTTCTCAGAAAGATCTGTTTAGTTGATACTGTAAGGCCACCCAACAGGGAGAGAGAGGAGAGAGTAATCCATCAGATTACTCATTGTTAGATGTGGCTGCAGTCAAAAACATCCCTTGGAAGATGCAGAAGTCAAGGGAGATACTGACTTGGTAGAAATATTAGAAATTTTAGAAACTTACATTTCTAAAATAAGTAACATTTTTACATTTATCAACTTAGAAATAAGTTGATTTTACAATTGTTTTCTAGATAGTGTATGAATACTACATAGCAGTGCAAATATGTATTGTTATTGCTCTTACATATAGTATGTGAAGTTCAGTTGTTAATTCCTAGCCGGTTACCTGGCATAGACTTGTTCTCAATATTTGTATATTTACCTGTAATAGTGTATATATTCCTGTTATCCAATCCATTGTTCCATCTGCTCTTCATTCTGCGTGGGGTGACAAGTCATCTGCCTGCAACAGTGGTATGCTGCTACATATTTAATAGGCAATTTTCTGGGAAATATAACCTGATCGGTGGTGTAAATACTCCTACAATGGTCAGTTTCAAGCTACCAGTGTGGCTATGGAATTTGGGAAGGACACACACAGTGGGCCTATGTGAGCTAACTCCATCCACCATCGGTAGTGCTGAGTTTGTGCTTATTCCAGTCTAACCAGCCAAATATAGAGGCTACTGAAAATTCTGAACTGCCAAAAGCATTTGTTTCCTTCATTAAAACTGACATGGCTTCTGGTGTTAATATTGTATATTAACTAATATTCAGTAATTTCAATCTTTAATGTCCTATTCAGAATCTTTTGAGTGAGTACATTTAATTCTATATTAGATGTATGTTTTCAAAGTAAATCATGAAAGGTAAACGTGGTTTGTGTTCATTTATTTTTGGTACTGGGGTTTTAACTTTGGTGCTCAATCACTGAACTACATCCCAGTTCTTTTTTTATTATTTAATTTTTTTTTTTTCAGTACTAGAATTGATTATTTTTTATTTTGAGAGTTGCCTCAGTTGGCCTTGAGCATATAATCCTCTCCTTAGGCTCCCGAGTAGTTGGGATGATAGACATGCATCACTATGGCCAGCTTAGAGTTTGTGTTTGCGAAGTGAAACAGTAAGCAAAATTGAGTCTTACAAAGGAGTCAAGTTCAAGGCCAGCCTCAGTGACTTAGACCCTATCTCAAAATAAAAAACGAAAAGGGCTGTGTGTATCTAGCTCAATGGTAGAGTACTCTTAGCTTTAATCCCCAATACCTACCTTCCCCCTAAAAAAGTCAGGATATATCAGAATTTTAAAGAAAATGTTATTTTGAGGTGTTCCTTCCCACCCCCGTATCCCATGGAACAAAATGAAAGTGCTCCAAATCAAGCTTTATATTGATTTCTTTATAATTTTGTGTTTGTTTTAAACAGCAGCTTAATGGATTAATTGTTCCTGTTCTTCAACATCCAGACCTTCAGGATGTCTTACTTATTCCTGTTATTGGACCTAGGTTTGTGACTATTTCATTTTCAAATTACATTTTATTTTTCTAATAAAAATTTATCACAGGATTCCTTTTTACTCTTTGGTGATAATTGAAGTTTCTCCATAGATAAACAGGAATTTATAAATTGGTAAATGTAAACTTTGTCATGGGAAACACTAGAGAAAACTAGGAATGGGTGGTAGGACCTTGATAATAATGCACATTAACTTTATTTAGCACAATGATTAAATTTTAAATTTTTTCCACTTTCTGAGAAGCTTTATTTAATTTGTTTATTTTTTATGAGATTCCAGTGGTAAATTAAACTGGTTTTTGAGCTGCACCAAAATATAATTTTTTTTTTTTTTGCTTTCAGAACTGATGTGTTTATAAAATTTTATACACAATTCTGTTAAATTACTGTGTACCAGGCATTGATTAGTTCATTTATATATTTGGAAGGCGTATATTGAAAAATAGGCTTTCAGAGTTCTTTACCTAAGGACCATTTTTTTCTTTGTTTGGTCCTGGAATTGAACCCAGGAGCCATACAACTGAGCTACATTACCCCAATCCTTTTTCATTTTTTATTTTGATACAAGGTTTTGCTAAGTTGCTGAGGCTGGCCTCAAACTTGAATCTTCCTGCCTCAGCCTCCCCAGTCTCTGGAATGATGGGTGTGTGCTACTATGCAGGCTCCAAGAGAAATTTAAAAGTCACTAATTATGGTACAAAATAAAGATTTTTTTTTGTTAAAGCTTTAAAGTAATTTAGTGGTCAGTAGAAGAATAGTTAATTATTGGTTTATCCATGCAATAGAATATTATATGGCTTTTAAGGTGGAAGAATTTTATGTACCAATAAGATGAGATGTTAATGATCTGTTAAGTGTTAAAAACAAATGGGCTAGGGATACAGTTAAGTGGTCAAGGGCTTGCCTAGCAAGCACAAGGACATGGATTTGTTTCCCCAAACATACACATACACAAAATAGTTGTACTTAGAATAATTACTTTATTTGCAGTTAAGGAAATGACAGCTACACATTTGTGTATGTTTCTTTACATATGAAAAAAAAAAAGTCTGAAAGTTATAACCAGCTATGAACAGTAGCTTAACTCTGAGGAAGTTGGAATGGGAGAAAGGGGATGAGTAAAAGATTTTTACTTGTAACACTTCTGTTTTGTTTTTTACTATAAGCATAGATTTTTACAATTAAAAATAGATTAACTGCAAAATCTGATTAGTTTAAGGTGAGATTTATATGTGAAATGGTGAGATTTTCAGTGTACAGTTTGAGCTTTACCAAATATTCAACTGTATAGCCAAAACTCACCTGACTCAGGAACTGAGCATTTTTATCAGCCCAGAAAATTTTCTTGGATTATGCTACCCTACCGGGAAACTGCTGTTCTGATTTCTGCCATTTCTTGATTTTTTGAACTGGTCAACTACTACAGTAGATCTGTAGTATTACAGATATATCTGTAGGTCTTTTTTTTTTTTATATTTATTTTTTAGTTGTAGTTGGACACAACACCTTTATTTCACTTGTTTATTTTTTTATGTGGTGCTGAGGATCGAACCCAGGGTCTCGCACGAGCAATCTGAGCGCTCTACCACTGAGCCACAACCCCAGCCCCATCTGTAGGGTTTTTGAGGCTATACTCCTTATGAGGATACAACATTGCTGTTGATAGGTTCAAAACTTTGCCACTTCTCATTCTGTTGAAATAATTTTATTCTTCAGATTAATACTTTTTAAAATAGGTAACATGTAGTAGGTTTTCCTCTTTATAAAAGGCAAATTTATTGTAAAATTTTAGAATTATACATAAATTAAAAAGTTACTATTTAATTTTATCTAATTTCTCACCCAATTTTGATTATCTTAGCATCAAACTCATATTTTTCCAGACAGCTTATCTTTACAACTGCACACCTGAATGCATGTTTGCATTCATTTGTATATATTTTTAGAAAGAAGAAAATCTTGTGTGTAATGTTTTGCAATTGTTTTTCTGTTATTTAAGACTCTGTTATGGATATTTTTCCATGATATAATTTTCTGTGATTTATGTATCATTATATTATTTTAAATAGCTATATATATATAGTACATCTTATCATTGAGCTTAATTTTTTCAACCGTCTGTTGAAAGACATTTAGTTTTTTCCTGCTTTTCACTGTTGCTAAGTGTTGCATTGATTATTTGTGGACTTGCCTAAGCGTGTGCGCAGAGTAAATTCATACTACATGGAATTCCTGGGTCAAAAGTCTGTGCTTGTTTTGGTCATAGACTGTTTTATTTAAAAAATTTTTTAAAAATACTTTTTTCTCCACTTTTTGTTGATGCACTATAGTTGTACATACGGTGGAATTTGTTGTTGCATATTAGTTCATGCACACAGTGTAACAACATAATTTGGCCAATAATGAATTGTTTTAGAAGTGGCTCTCATAAATAGTGTAGCACATAAGTTGTCTGCCTCCTCTGTACTTTGCTTTCCTTATCTCTACTTATCTCTAAAATGGAAATTAAAAATACTTTCTAATCATAGGATTGTTGTGAGGCTTAGAATAGTTCATGGTACATTGTATATATTCAGTAAATGTTTGCAATACTTCTAATTTTTTATTTCATATGTTTTGCTTTTTTGCATTCAGTTCTAGTTCACTTTTGTATTTTGTTGCTGTTCTTCCTTTTTAGATGTTCTTTAAGCTTATTTAAAAATAGGCATATTTGAAACTTTATTGTTCATATTTATGTGCTTTTTTTGTACTACCCACTATAGGGTCTGTGTTTAATGTTGACTGAATCTTTTTTACTTGTAACTCATGAATGAACATGGTTGCATTCTAGTATGCCATTTGCTAAAGAATGATATAGAATGTGGTGAAGAGAAAGCCTATACAATTAATTTAAAATTTTTTTTCAGAAATAGTTTCATCAGATATTGTTATAGCACAGCTCTAGTCTTGGTGAGCAGAGCTGATTGAAAAATGTAGGTTCTCTGTGAAAGTTTGTAGTTCACACTGTTTTTTGTTTGGAGCTTTAGTTAATTGTGTAGTTAACTGAGGTCACAAGAGTACTTAGAACATTGTATCTGAAACATTTTTTTGCGGGGGTGGTACTAGGGATTGTCCCCACAGGTGCTGTACTACTGAGATATATCCCCAGTCCTTTTCATTTTGAGGCAGGGTTTTCTTTCCCCCTTATTTTAAACTCATTTGAATGAGAATCTCTTGATACGTTGTTGAGGCTGGCCTCAAATTTGTGATTTTCTTGCCTCAGTCTCCTGAGTTGCTAGGATTACAGGCATGCACCACATTGCCTGACTTCAGTTTGTAATTTTAAATTCTATATTTTCTTAGTTCTCCCTTCATTAAAATTTCAACACAATATTTCAAATAGGTTAGAATAAAATTTCCTGTTTTTCATAATTGAATACATATCTCTTGATCCAAATGAGGCTAGATTTGCCTTCTTTAGCCAGCTTGATTTCCATCTTTTAAAGTTTCTTTTTCACCAATATCAGTACTGTTTTAGTTCACTGCTCACAGTTCTGGAGCCTAGAAATCTGAGATAAGGTGACAGTGTTCTGGTGAGAGCCTTCTCCTGGATTGTAGATGACTGACTTCTGGTCCTATCCTTACATTGTGGAAAGACGGTGAGCCCTCTGGATTCCTCTTATGAAGGCACTGATCCCATTCATGGGATTCTACCATCTTACCTAATTATCTCCCAAAGTCACCTCCAAATATCATCACATTGGAATTAGGGTTTCAGTGTGGATTTTGGATAGGATGCACAGTCAGTCCATAATAAGCACTTTAAAATTTTAATTTATATGAAGCCATAAGGTAATCAATAGAATTTCAAAGTAATTGCATAAAGACTGCTGGTTAAATAAAAATGGCAGTCCTTCTGAAGAGAAATTGGTTGGCATATAACAGTATCACTTAATATCAGTTTTATCCATCTTCTGTTTAAAGGGTTGTTAAAATGTGCAGTTAAAAATAAAAAGTGCCACAAGAAAAACAATTTTTTTTTTTTAAAAAAGCAAAACAAAGATAAAAAGTGCCATGTAGTTTGTTGTTTGTTTTAATGGGACATTCCCATAATTGGTTTAATTTCTAGTTACTTCATTTTTAATCATTTTTAAAATTTTTTTTAGTATTTATTTTTTTAGTTTGACACATACCTTTATTTTATTTATTTTTATGTGGTGCTGAGGGTCAAACCCAGGGCCTCACACATGCTAGGCGAGTGTTCTACCGCTGAGCCATAACCCCAGCCCCTCATTTTCAATTATTTTAATAGTTAAGAAATTTTTTAAAATTTGTTAATGGACCTTTATTTTATTTTACTTATTTTTATGTGGTGCTGAGAATTGAACCCAGTGCTTCACACATGTGAGGCAGGTACTCTACCACTGAGTTACAACCCTAGCTCTTAATAGTTTTTTTTTTTTTTTTTTTTTAAAGAGAGAGAGAGAGAGAGAATATTTTAACATTTATTTTTTTTAGTTTTCGGCGGACACAACATCTTTGTTTGTATGTGGTGCTGAGGATGGAACCCGAACCGCACACATGCCAGGCGAGCGCGCTACAGCTTGAGCCACATCCCCAGCCCTTAATAGTTTTAATTAGGTGTCTTTGTACTATTTTTCCTCCAGTTTTTATTGTGTACTATTGCACCTTATTGTTGGTTTACTCAGTAAATATAATTTTTAACATGTTTTATGGCCTATGCCAACTCTTGTATTTCTTCTTTTTTATTTCCTCAGTGTCCAGGATTTCTATTCAGAGAAATAGAAATCCCCTGCCTGGTACATACCCAAAGTCTGAACTCACAGAAGGAAATCTGGTGTTCATCTTAAACACCAGTTTTTTATGGCTTTTAGGCACAGTGAAATACTCTTATCAGTTAATAGTAGGGACACTTCTGAAATCTAAACTGTAGATGCCAGTTAAGGCCAGCCTTATAAGCAGACCCTTCAAAGGGAAACAGGCTTGTTATGTTAACTTTTCTCTGTAGCTATCTATTCTAGAATTCATTATTTTCTCTCCTTAAATTCATAATTAACATTGTAAGGTTCCATTATACAAATTTATGCTGTGGGTAAGGTGCAAGTATTACAAAGACAAATGGTTCATACTTGTTCAGCTTAATGGGAACTGTGGTACAAGTCAGATGATGATTAACATGGTGAAAGTGTAAGTGAGGTGCTATTGGATAATGAAGGACTGAGTAAATAGAAATTCATAAAGATTTTCTCTAAGCAGGTATTTTAGTTAAGCTTGAAGATGGGTAGAAATTAGGCTGATAAGATTAGGTAGGTAAATGTATGCTAGGTACAAAGAAGGCATACCCAAAGATTTGAAATCATAAAAATTCTGGTGGTTCATGATAAAAGAGATCAGATTTGGCTGCTGAATTGATTTTTCAGAAGGTTGGGTGAAGGACAGATTGTAGAAGTTAGGAGAGACAGGTTGTGAAATAGGAAGGATATTTTTAACTAAGAATATTTTCCCCCCATAGGCTCTAGGAGCCAAAGAATTACTGTTACAGTAACAATTAGATCTGTATTTTTGAAATATAATACTGAAATAGTTATACATTAGTGAGTTGTGAAGTCAGTTTTTATGAATAAATGGATATTTATGTCCTTAAAATTTGTATAGTAAAGGGGTTGTTTCATGAAATGATAAAAGTGTGTGTCTACACACATGGAGCCGTGTATGTGGAGTGGATTATTGTATTTGGTGTTTCGTAGGTTACAATCAAAATTTCAAAAAGCTTTCTTAAAAAAAAATGAATTGCAGAGCTGGAGAAGTTAGGAATCCATTTTAGTTTTTAGTTCAACAGTATGGTAAACTAAATAACCGGAATATATTTCTGCTACATATACCTAGGAATGTAATAAAAAAATAAAATGGGTCATACAATGCATAGCCAAGTGACTAGTAATAAAATATTTAGAAATTAGGAATGGAGAGTAATGGGGAAAATAAAGCAGTAAGCATCTAGAGTAATATGAGGGGGGTGAGGTTTGGAGAAAGAATATCACTCGTGGTTTTTATGTTTTGTTTGTTTGGATTGTTTTTTTTTTTTTTTTTTTTTTTTATTTGATACTGGAGATCTAACAGGGATACTTTACCACGGAGCTATATACCCAACACATTTTTTCAATTTTGAGACAGGGTCTGGGTAAGTTACTGAGGCTGGCCTTGAACTTGCAGTCCTCCCGTTGAAACCTCCTGAGATAGTGGCATTACAGTAGTGCACTACTGTATCTGGCCATTTGTTGGTTTTTAAATTTAGAGTCTTTGATTTTTAATAGGGGTTTAACACTGGGGACTGAGATCTGTCTAGCAGTCATTATGAGACAGGAATTAGGAGGTGGGGGCGGTCTCTGTTAGGGTCTAGGTTAGAGAAAAAAATTCTGAGAATGCACTATGGTTCCATACCTCACAAAGGTTTGGAATTCAAATCTTATTACTCAAATGGTCTTGAAATCTACATTCTGGGAAATTGACATATAAATTGGGTCCCAAGTCAGTTCTTCCACTGCTTGGTACAAACCAATCAAAATCATTCTAGAATGGCACACTTTTAAGCCAAGCCTCACACTTTTCTCATCCTTAACAGATAATTTAGGAATCAAACTATCATAGTGAAAATTAGTGTGTACGGTAAACTGCAGAAATAGGATCCCCTAAATTCTAATAGAACTTTCTGGTAGAGGATATAAATCGGTTTTCCTAACTGATTAAAAACAAAAGACTAAGACAAAAAGGTAGAATTGATAAATAATTCATAGAAATATTGTTAAAATTAAGAATTCACTCCTCAAACTAAACTTAGACCCAACTGATACAATTATTGAATTAGGTTATGATTCAGGAAATGATCCAGAATGCAGCAGAGATAAAGAAATTAGAAATATGAAATTGAGATTGAGTAATGGTAAATGGAATGAAAAGACAGCTCATATTTCTAATGAGTCCCAGATGTAAAGAACAGAAATAATGGAGGAAAGAAAATAATGAAAGCATTAAGAATTTTCTAGAATTGATGAAAGACGAATTTAAGAAGTACAAGTCTGAACCCAAAGATAAAAAAATCCATAGCTAGGTACTTCAGAGTGAAACTGTAGAACACCAAAAACATAAAGATCTGAAATAAAGGTAAAAGGCAGGAAACTACACCGGTAACAAAGAGATCATGTATGTGTGAAGTCTGGTGCTAGACCCAAGAAGTCAGTCAAGCTGGGCATGGTGGCACATGTCTCCCAGTGTATCTGGAGGCTGAGGCAGGAGGATCATGAGTTCAAAGCCAGCCTCAGCAACAGTGAGGTACTAAACAACTCAAACCCTGTCCCTAAATAAAATACACAATAAGGCTGGGGATGTGTCTCAATGGTCAAGTGCCCCTGAGTTCAATCTCTGGTACTTAAAAGAAAAAAAAAAAAAGTCAAAATTTGAGGTAGCATTAAATAACTCAAGGAAAGTCAAAGCTTAGGAAGAAGAGGTTTAAACGTATTTTGAGGCAGTAGTTTATAAAGAACAGAAATTTCTCACAGTTCCACTGGGTGGGGAGTCTGAGAATAAGGTGCAGGTGCTTGGTGAGGTCTTGCTGTATTCTCATATGGTTGGGGGGTGTTAGAGCAAGAGAGGTTAGAGCGCCCCTGGTACAAAAAAAAAAAAAAATTGGGGGTCATCTGAGGAGTATAGGAGAGAAAAATATTTTGTGGGACTTGCTGAGTTTGAAGTTACTATGAGACATCTATATATAGCTACCTGCAAGTAATTCAAAATATCAATCTAGAAAGACTGAATATTAAAATTTATGGCTTTATTATTATTATTTTAGTAAAATTGGATCTTGCTATGTTGCCTAGGCTGGTATTAAACTTGTGGGCTCAAGTGATTCTCCTTTATGAGCCTCCCAAGTAGCTGGTACTACTGGCATGTGCCTGATAATCTCAACTATTTGGGATTATCAACCAAGTGATTATTGAAATAATGAACTTGCCAATGGGTAGAATGCAAGGCAAGTAGAGACCATGGTGTGCTTTGGAACTTGAGCTTGAGCAACGTGAATAGGTGGGATTAGGTAGTGTATAGTTGAGAAGTGTAGTGAGATTTGATAACTGGATTTCAAGAAAAAATTATGGGACACAATTCATGTGTGAAATGTCGCCAACCAGGGAAGCTCATGAGAGACTGCTCAGAATTTTTATTGAAGGTTGATCACATTAGTACCTTTGATCTTTGGAAAAAATCTCACCTAATATTAGAAATGATGCCAGATTTTAGTGGCATAAAGAATGAGAAATTGAAAAAAAACCTCAAAAATGCTGTATAGAAAAGATTTATCTGTCTAGATTAAAAAAAAAATCACATTTTTCCATGCAACAATTTAGAAATCTTACTTTCCTTTTCTTCTGTTGTGTTCTCTTCCAATTGATCCTAGTGCTGCACTCATATTAAGTACTGTACCACAGAGCCACATCCTCAGTCCTAGAAATGTTTTTAATTTCTTGCATACTTTTCTGTTTTAGTCTTTGAAAGCAGCAAAAGTGTCACAGTGCAATATGAAAATAGTAATGATTAACAGATTTTATGCCACTCTCCTTCCTTCCACTAGATGGACCTCTTTCAATTGTTTTCTCAAATGCTCAGTTTTTTGTTTTTTGTTTTTTTAACACTATCTCTCTATTTATTCCTTTCATTTCAGCTTTCTCTTGTTTATTCAGGAAAATCGAGGCTAAAGAGATTATTTATATAGAGTTCATATTGAAACATTGAAAATGTTTGTAGGCATTGGAGGAATATTACTGTTAAATTTCTTTTAATATTCATAGAAAGAATATAAAAAGACAGCAGTGTGAAGCCATCGTTGGAGCCCAATGTGGTAGTGCAGTATTAAGAGGAGCTCATGTCTATATTCCAGGAATCATGTCAGCATCAAAATGTAAGTATAAGGTTTAGAGTTCCCTAAAAATCATGTGTATTTTCAAATGGAAAATTTGGTATATTTCATTGAGATGTTGTTCAAATTTACCTTTGTTAGGTATTTTCCAAGCTTAGCATTTAACATAGCCAGTGAGGATTTTACCTGATAAGGTCTAACAAATTAAGCATGCACATAAAGCTTTCTGACAATTGTTTTCTCTCCACATAAGTATTTACATGGTGATATTTGTTTAGGGAGTAATTACTAATTACTGATGAATAGACAGTGTAAGTGAGATTCTGTTTTGTATTCTCAACTCTGTTGCCTTAAAACCTCAGGCTGCTCTCATGTCATTTGTGAGGGTAACATGTAGAACTTGGAATCTGATCATTAGGTTAAATGTGATATTTTTAATTTATTCACTCAGTTGACAGCGTATTGCATATGCTTACTAGGTTAAGACCCCATGGTTAACTGGTATCTTATTGGATTTGAAGTCATAAGACACTGTTTGTTTATTTTTATGTGGTGCTGAGGATCAAACCCAGTATCCCACACATGCAAGGCAAGCCCTCCACCACTAAGCCACAAGTTTTAATCTATTGCAATCTTATTCTTCTCTGGGCTTTGGTTATCTTATATATGAAGTAAATATTTTGATCCACATCAGAATTGTCAGACTACTTCCTGTTGACCAGATTGAGCCTATGTTTGTTTTTGTCTGGCCTTCAAATTAATTTTTTTTAGAAATTTTGTTTTGAGGAATCTTAACATACTTTTTTTTTTTGTACTGGGGATTGAACTCAGGGGCACTGGATCACTGAACCACATTCCCAGCACTATTTTGTATTTTATTTAGAGACAATGTCTTAGCGCCTTGGAGTTGCTTAGTGACTTGCTGTTGCTGAGGCTGGCTTTCAACTCAGTATCCTCCTGCCTCAACCTTGCAAGCCGCTGGGATTACAGGCATGTGTGCCATGCCCAGCTCTTAGCATATATTTTTGAGGAATTTTTTGGAAGGAAACTTAAAGAGCTTTTGCATATTAAGCTAAGATACAAAGATTTACAGGAAATGTTTTAAAGAATGTGAAGTTTGGGGATCATAATTTATATAGAAAATATCTTCCTTTGCTCAGTTGAACATTTCCAATTAAAAGGATGTTTTAAAGACTATTCTTTTATTTTCACTGAAAAATTTCTCCATTTAGATTTATTGTTGGGAATATTTTAAAGCCAAAAGGTAGATTTTTCTGTAAGGATTATATTGAGATAATTAGCAAATTTGAATGGCTTATTTCCACTGTTTGTGTCCCTAGAGACCCTGATTGTAGCTTGAAGAACTTTTTGTTATTCTCCTAAAACATGGGTTAATGTAATCTGGTTTTCTTCCTTTCCTAGTTATGAAAGCTGGAGATGTTATTTCTGTGTACTCCGATATTAAAGGGAAATGTAAGAAAGGAGCCAAAGAATTTGATGGAACAAAAGTATTTCTTGGAAATGGGATTTCTGAACTAAGCCGCAAAGAAATCTTCAGTGGGCTACCTGAAATGAAGTATGGTATCCAGTGCTATGGGAGAAATAAACATCCTTTGAGTGGTTTAAGGATAGTGTACACAATACAAAAACTCAAATGGAAAAAAATTATTTAATCCATAATCCCATGATTTTTTGGAAAAAAAAAATCCCTTTAGGTAAAAACAGTAAATGGATTAAAAAGCCTACATAAGCAACCAGTCACATGCTGATTGTCAAACAATTTTACTTGTCCTTTGAATTTTAATGATTTTTGCATCTTTGAGGAACAGTACTTGCCTTGATAGAGAATGGATTAGATGACTCATCTAGATCAGTTTAACATTCAAATTTTGTGGACAAAAAAGTTTGATTTTAATGCAAAAAAAATTTTCCCCTTGATTCTGGGGATTAAATGAAGGGGCACTCTGCCACTAATTATATCCCTAGCCCTTTATTTTTTGAGACAGGGTGTCACTGACTTGCCAAGCCATGAATTTATTATCCCCCTGCCTTGTTGTCTTGAGTAGGTGAGATTATAGGAGTGCACAACCACACCCAGCAAAAATAAGGTCTTTTAAATAAAAAATTTTATCAGAAAATCAGTATTCACATGAATATTTCTGTCAAAAATTTATGTTTGGATTTGTTAAAGCCATTATAAATATTTCTAAATCATCCCAGTTAGTGAATCTAAAAAAAAAATAAATCCATGAACAATACAGTCTCTTATTTTACTTAGTTCTTTCAGCTTGTTTTAGAATGCTGTAGACATCTTCATTTCTCTAAAGTTGACATGGACATACTAAGATCTCTGCATTTATCCATCTAGAACTGGACCATATCCGTGATTCCTGGAACAGTTTTTCATGTTACAGCAGTTTTTCTGTCTAACTGAAACTCCTCCGAAGAAACAGATTATTGGATTTCCTTTATTTAGATAGTAATACTTTCTAAATTGTGTTCTCCTTACAAGGCTTTGGGAGTATGAAAATCATGCAAATGTCTTCTGTTTCTCTTTGAGTCTGTAATAGGGGATTGATATTTTAGTTCATTATTAATGGTATACTTTCAGTTCTTTTATTTGATGTGGTGGTTCCCACTACTGTGCTGAGTAATGTTTTCGGATCAGTGTTCTGAATGTTTCCTTTATTGATAGGAGTAGAAGGCAGCTATTAAAAAAACCCAAAAAACAAACAACAAACTATTGACTTTCTCTGACAGTGTTTGTGTGCACTCTCTTTCCCCCTTTGATAGTTCTCTGACTATCTTTGATTGCATTGTTTGTCTTTATGAATCACTGTCTACCATGCCATCTGTGTCCTGGCCCCTTCCTGTTCTGATCAGCTCCACTGCCACTCATAAAATGGGACAAAGGTAGAAAAGGTCATATTGGGAATGTGTCAACACTCGGGCAGTTATTCTATAAAAAGGTGATAGAGTGTACCGTCTTTGCCATTGCTCAGCATGATTCTAGGTATTTTTTCAGCTTTCATACAGGTACTGAGTAGAGTATCTTATAAACTCGATCATTCATGAAATGTTGATTAATTAGGTAGACTAAGTTACCATAAGTCAGTTACCAAAAAGATAAGAATGAATCAATAATCAGATGTTCTTGGATATTTGGTTTATTTGAAATACAGAAACTCTTGTGCCTAAATGAAAAACTTATTTAATTTTATTTGATTCTGATGTGTTCTTTTACCCTACTCAAGGTAAACATTCACAAACAGTTCTCAGGACTATTCAAAGTATTTTAGTGTTAAAAATTTTAAAAAGGCAAAGAATTTTATATTTGATATTCTATTTGAGTATGTTAATAGAAATATGTACTATTTAGTTTGTACACACTAATGTTAGATTTCCTCTTTTTCAGAGGTATAGGCATAAGAATGACAGAACCAATATATCTCAGCCCTTCATTTGACAATGTACTGCCCAGTTACTTATTTTTACAGGTAAGTATCTATAGAAGAAAAATATTTATGACATTGAAACATATTTCAGTGGATAACTCTAAATCTCAGTGTTTTTATAAAAAACATATGAAAACATTTCTGGTGGTCTATTTATATATATTTTGATCTACCTTTGATTAAACAAGGAAAATCTGAGTGCTCTTGCTCTTTTCCTTAATACATTTTGAAAATATTTTTCTCTTATTCAAAGGTGACTTAATGACATTAAAATTACTGCTTTCCATCTAAGAATGTCAGTCCCTAAATAATGCACACATTTGATGTTCATTTAAGTGTTCCATTTGTATCTTTTAGTAAGATTCTAATAGTTTAATGATATCAGATTTATGAGATGGATATCAGTTGCAGTAATAAGTCATCTGGTTTACCTTTTCCAGTTTAGTAAGCACTTTCATTCATTAACTCATTCGTTACTATTTGCTGGTTAGATGATGATATTCTCAATATAAGATGAAGATACTGAAAACTAGATCTGTTTTTGGCTAACTTCACACCACTAGTAGTTGGTAGAGTCTGACTACAAACCTAAGTTCAGATGCCATGTGCTTTATTCTCTTCCTAGTACTAAACCAAAGGTATTTACAAATTCGGAGATAATTCCTGCGGTGAATAATCAGAAAATGATTTATATTGTCATCTATTCGCACATTAGTAATAATGTGAAATATTAGACTCTATAACCTAATACACAATGGCTTGTGGATCATTTTTGGTCATTTTGTTTGCTTAGTTTTTGGTTTTTGCTTATTTGTTATATAATCCATTTTCAAACACTTGTGATCATCAGACAATACAGCCATGCATCATTGCTTGCAGCATCTAATACAATATTATTTCTCTCTTCAGTAAAAGAAAGGGCCATATACCTGCTTATCGCATGATTTAGTTTTGACTTTGGAAAAGAGAAAAATCAGTATAGTCCAATTTTTATATATTTGTTGAGACTTATACCAGGATCACTACTTTCCCTCACCTGTAACCTTAAGATCAACTTGACAACTACATAAAATATAAATTGTGAAACAGTTTGTGACTCAAAATATTCAAGTAGCATCATAAAGTCATATTCTTTATCACTTAATGACAAGGAACATGAGATGTTACAGCTGGAATAAATCTTTTGTATCTGAGGGTAGAATTTTTGTCACTTCCCTAGTGAAAGCTTTTTTATTGTACAAAATGTACATTGATGATCTTTGATTGGCCAGTAAACTTATTAAAAATGAAAATGTTAATACCAGCTAGCACTTAATTGAGTGGGTATTGCATTGCATGTGTCGTGCTGAGTGTTCTGGATACACTTTTTCATATGCTACTTGTAAACCTCCAGTTTCATAGACAAGGAAATGGGGGCCTAGAGAATAGAAGTGTGTGCACATAGTAGACACTCAGTAATTTTCCAGTGGCTAAATTAGGGTTTGCTGATTGCCACATAGAAATCAAGAAAGCCAAAATTTGAATGTAGGTCTTTCTGACTTAAAGCCTTTGCTCTTGACCATATGCCAGTGCTTACAGTGTGACTCTTGGAAGATCTGAATCACTTGCAGGACCTGTTTTAAATGCAGGTTCTGAGCTGAGTAAGCGGGAGCTCCAGGTAATTCACATAATCCTTAAGTTTCCCAAATAGTTCTTGTACAACTTCCCAGAAATCCTTGTTTAGTATTTAGTTTGCACATGATTAAATTTCCTTTTACAAGTTAGACAAGGGGACACACACCTGTAATCCCAGACTTGGAATACTGAGATAGGAGCCTTGTTAAGTTCAAGGTCAGCCTCAGCAACTTAGCAAGATTCTGTCTTAAAATAAAATTGACTGGGGTCACGGCTCAATGATAAAGCACCCCTGGGTTCAATTCCCAGCACCAGTCAATAAATTTCTTTCCCTTTACAGACTAATTCAGAACCATCAGGTTTTTAATTGGGTCATATCTGATACAGTGAAATCTAAATAGCTTAATTTAGTGCACTCCAGACCAGGGAATGACAGTTTCCTTAAGAAACATTTCCAGGGCCTGGGGATGTGGCTTAGAGGTAGAGTGCTCGCCTAGCACATGGGAGGCACTGGGTTTGATCTGCAGCACCACATAAAAATGAAATAAAGATATTGTGTCCACCTACAACTAAAAAATAATTTTTTTAAAAAAGAAACATTTTCAAAAAAAGAATAGTAAGTTTATTTTAAGAAGAGTGTCCACCTTAAAGAATCATTTTGGTCCTTGAACTCTTATATGTTATGATTTTCACAAATAGAAAAGTTTTCATATTTATATGTAATGGTAATAGAACAAATTTGGAATTTCTAAACAATCCAATAGCCTTTTCAGGCAAACATGAACAAAGGACTATAAAGTCTAGATGTCAATTAAAAGAATAAAAGTATAATGATGTGAGAAGCATCATCTTAAAGCACTTTTCAAGAGCTTTAGGTCATCGAAATAGATACTGACACTTCAATGTCAAATTGAAAATTCTGCTTGCTTTTAGGTGTCAGTTTCCAGTCTTCTCTAAAAGCTAAGAGGCCGATAGTAGACATAACATATCATTGCATTGTGATTTTAGGGACCAACATGATGTCATCAAAGATATTCAAGATCTTTCATAGGTTTCAGCCTACAGAGTCTTGCTATCTCACAAATTTTATAATTCCTTCATGCTGGTCATCAGGACTCTGGAATAAATTAGTATGCATCAAAACACTTCTAGAACTTAAAGAACTTGTAGGTACCTAGGGTCTGTTCTTGGAGATTTCCTAATAAAGTTTTATTTTGGAATTACAGGGTGGAATTTAAGAATTACAGAGATAATACAAGAATTCTTGTATGCTCTTTGCCTAGTTTCCCCTAATAGTAACATAAATTATTTTTTCCTTTTTTCAATTTTTTTAATAGTTTTTGAAATTCTAATTAGTAACAAATCATGATGGTACATTTGTCATTGCTTAGAAAACCAAGTGGTTCTTGGAAAGTTAAGCTGGGAAGAACACTAGAACCTACAAGTTTAAGACCAGCCTGGGTAACAGTGAGATTGCTATCTCATTCAAAACAAACAAAAACTGATACAGTAAACCATTAAACAGTATCCCCATGTATGTTACATACAGCACTCCAAATGTGTATACCATATTATAATAAACTCTAAATTTTATTCATACACCATTTTCTCCCTCACCCTCTTTTTGTGTGTGTCTCTGTGTTTTTCAGGATCCCATGCTGCATTTAATCATTGTGTATTCTTAATTTCTTCTGGCTTGGGTAGTGGCTGTCGTTCCTTATTTCTAAAACCTTGATAGTTTTGAGACTAAGCTATTTTGTAGACTCTCTCTCTTAGGAATCTTCTAATGTCTTCTTTTGATTAGACTGGGGTTACTTTGTTTGGCAGAAGAATACCGCATATCAGGGTACATGATATCTCTCTGGAGAATTTAATTCAGTAGGTCTAGAGTAGGTACTAGAAATCTTTTATTTAAATTTTTTTTTTTAAATTTTGAACTTCACAAAAAGTATTTTTTTGCAATTTTTTTGGTACATTGATTATACATAATAGTGGAATTTATTGTGATATATTTGTATGTGCACTTAACATAAATTTTATTCCCCAGTGTGTCCCCTTTGTCTCTCCTTGGTCTCTGTCTTCTTGTCTACTAGTCTCCTATTTTCATGAGACATACCGCTTTCTTTCCCCTCCTTTTTCTTTACAGCTTCCATGCATGAGAGAAAACATGACCCTTGACTTTCCAAGTCTGGCTTATTTTAGTCAATATCATGTCTTCCAGTTCCATCAATTTTTCTTCATTCTTCTTTGTGACTGAGTAAACTACTTTGTGTGTGTGTATATATACATTTTCTTTACTCATTCATCTGTTGATGGACAGACACCTAGGCTGGTTCTGTAGTTGGGCTATTGTGAATTGTGCTACTATAAACGTGGGTATGCATGTTTCACTACGGTATACTAACCAGTTTTGTTTTTTTTGAGAAATACCAAGGAGTGGTATTTCATATAGTGGTTCCATTCCTAGTCTTTTGAGAAACCTCCCTATCAATTTCAATGTGAGTATACTAATTTACAGTTCCACCAGCTGTGTATAAATATTATCCCCCCCCACATCCTCATGTATTATTACTTGTATTTTTGATGATTGTCATTCTAACTAGAATGCCATGAAATCTCAGTGTTGTTTTGACTTGCATTTTCTGACTAAAAATAGTGAATATTTTCTTCATATTTGTCGTAAATTCATATTTCATTTGAGAAATGTCTGTTTAGTTCATTTGCCCATTTATTTTGTTTTTTTTGGGGGTCCTTTGGAGTTCTTTATATATTCTGCATATTGATTATGTCAGAAGAGTAATTTGTAAATACGTTCTTCCATTTTTATGCTTTTTTTGTGCTCTTAATTATTTCCTTGCTATGCAGAAGCTTTTTAGTTTGATGTTATCCCATTTATTCTTGGTATTTGCTATGCTTTGGGAGTTCTATTGAGGAAGTTGTTGCCTGTATGTGTATGTTAGCATGTTAACCTGATGTGTTCTTAGAGACATAAGAAGACGAAAAGACCTCTGCTGTTCTTGTATAGACTATTAATATTGTTAAAATGGTAATATTACTAAAAGCAATCTACAGATGACAATGCATTCCCAGTTAAGATGGCAATGACATCCTTAGGAACTAGAAAAAAAATTCATATGGAAGAATAAAAGACCCAGAGTAGCAAAAACAATCCTGAGTAAACAGAGCTATCCTGGAGGCTTTACAATACCTAATTTCAAATTATACTGTAGTACTATAGTAACAATAATTGCATGGTACTGACATAAAAACAGACAGCTTGAAAGTTTCTGGTGTAATTCCTAATTTTGATTCTTTTTTTTTTTTTTTTTTGTGGGGCTGGGGGTGGTGTACCAGGGATTGAACTTAGGGGCACTCAACCACTGAGCCACATCCCCGTCCCCATTTTGTATTTTATTTAGAGTCAGGGTCTCACTGAGTGCTTAACACCTTGCCATTGCTGAGGCTGTGATCCTCCTGCCTCTACCTCCCGAGCTGCTGGGATTGCAGGTATGTGCTACCATGATGGACAAGTCTGATTCATTCTGAGTTGACATTTGTGCAGTGTGAAAGATAGTGATCTGGTTTCGTGTTTCTATATGGGTACATAGTTTTGCCAGCATCATTTGTTAAAAAGACTGTCTCTTTTCTAATATATTTCTGATCCTTTTGCCAAGGATCAGGTGACTGTACCAGGGTGAGGCTTGTTTCTGTCTCTTCTGTTCTGATCTACATGTCTCTCCTCCACTTCCTTTCTCTTTTTTGTCAGTGCTGTATAATTTTTGTTACTGTAGGTCTAATATAATTTGAAATTAGGTATTATGCCCCTGGTATTGCTCTTTTTGCTCAGGATTGCTTTAGCTATTCTGGATCTTTTATTCGTCCATATGAATTTTAGAATGTTTTTTCCCTGGATCTGTGAAGGATGTCATTGCTATTTTGTCATTGCTATTCAATATGCATTGAATCTGTAGATTGCTTTTGGTAATATGGTCATTTTAACAGCATTAATTTTGTCTAAACAAGAACAGGGCAGGTCTTTTCATCTAGTAGTGTTGTCTTCGATTTTTTTCTTCAGTGTTCTGTAATTTTCATTATAGAGGCTTTCTGCTTGGTTAGATTTGTTTCCAAGTTTTTTTTTTTTTTTTTTTGAAACTACTATGAATGGAATTGCTTTCCTGATTTATTGTTCAGTGGATTTATTATTGTTGTATAGAAAAGCTATTGGTTTTTGTACATTGATTCACCCCGCCGCCCCCACCCCCGCCCCGCAGTTCTGGTGACACAATATCTTTTATTTTTTATTTATGTGATGCTGAGGATGGAACCCAGTGCTGAGAGTAGAACCCAGTGCATCACATGTGCTAGGCGAGCACTGTACCTCTGTGCCATAACCCCAGCCCCTGATTTTTTTTTTAATCCTGCTGTTTTGCTAAATTTATCAGCTGTAGTCATTTTCTAGTGGTTTCTTGAATCTCTTAAGTTTAAGATATCATCTGCAACAGTGATAGTTTGACTTCTCCTTTTTCTATCTGTCCCTTTTTTTTTCTTTCTTTTGTCTAATTGCTCTGGCTACAATTTCAAGTACTATATTGAATAGTAGTGGTAAGTGTCAACATTCTTATCTTGTTTGTGACTTTAGAGGTAATGTTCTCTGTTTTTCTGTTTAGGATGATATTAGCTTTGGGTTTGTTGTATATACCTTTATGACATTGAGGTAAGTTTCTTCAATGTTTTTAACATGAATGGGTGTTAAATTTTGTTAGACCTTTTTTTCATCTGGTAATGATCATGTGATTTTTGTCCTTAAATTCTATATGTGATGAATTGATTTATTGATTCGCATATGTTGAGCCATGCCTGTATCCCTGGAATGAAATCATCTTGATCATGATATACAATATTGTTGATGTGTTTTTTAATACAAATTGCTAATATTTTATTAAGAATTCTTCCGTGTTGCATACATCAGGGAATTTGGTCTTTAATTTTTGTTCATGAATGTGTCCTAGTTTGGGGATCAGGATGTCCCTTTTATTTTCTTCTCTTGCCTAATTGCTCTGGTTAAAATTTCAAGTACTATATTGAGTGGTAGTGGTAAGAGTTGACATCCTTGTCTTGGTCCTTATTTTAGAGAAAATGACTTCATAGAATAAATTTGGAAGGGTTCCTTCACTTTCTCTTTCATATAATAATTTGAAAAGTGTTGGCATTAGTTCTTCAAAGGCCTGGTAGAATTAAGCCGAGAAACCATCTGGTAATGTTTTTTTCTCCCCTCAGCAATTTATTTATTATTTTTCTTTTTAAAAAATTACTCATTATTTTTAGTTACATAAGAGTAGAGTATAATTTTTCAATTATACAAACATGGAGTACATCTTATTCTAATTACATCTTGTTAGCCTCTATTTATGTGTTTCCCCTTGCCTTCTAATTAGTATCCCAATCTTGTGGTTGTACATGATGGGTTTCTTTGTTGGAGCTTTTTATTACTGTGTTGATCTTATTGCTAGCTCTTGGTCTGTTTAGGTTTTCTATATCCCCTTGGTTCAATGTAGGTCATATCTGACTAGAAATTTGTATCATTCCAGTTTATTGAAATATAAATTTTCAAAAGTCCCTAATGATTCTTTGAATTTCAGTGATGTCTGGGATAGTATCTGCTTTTCCATCTCTAATTTTATTGTTTTCTTTTTCTCCTGGCTGAGATATTTTCAATGGAGATATTTTCCCACACACTCTTGTATTTATAATAACAGGCATGGGCTCCCCTTTGTAGGTTTTGGTGCTTTTGGCAAAGGGACACATGGCAGAGGCAAAATGTCACTCAACAGCTAGCGTACATGGCTGCAACGGGACACCAAGACTGTGGCCAGTGGCTGAAGCTCAGGGCACTGATTCATTTATTTACTTGACAAATATTTATTGAGCATTCATTATATGCAAGATGCATATAGATGTTGATGATACAGTAGAAATATTTAGACAAACAATCTACGCCCTTATTTTCTGGGGTGTCTATTCTAATTGGAGAAGGAAATAGGGTTAGTATATTATAAGACAGTAATACTGTGGCCCTGTGGAGCAAACTAAAGAAAGTAATATGGGAGAGGAATGCTAGATTATAATACTTATGAGTGAAGCTTTATCAGCTATCTCTAGATAAAGCATCAAACAATTTTTAGTAGCCACATGCTTTAATGTTCTGTTTTGGAGTTCAGTTTTTAAGTACTTTTGGAATAAATTAGGTCCATGAAGATGAACTATTTGTAAATAGGTTTTTAGTCTTTAGTGTAAAGAATTGCTTTTCATGTGCCCTAAATTGCATTGATTTTAATGCTTTGTATAGTCACAGGGAAAACTTGCTCATTTGTAACTGCTTTTTCACTATGGATCTTCTCTTTTGAATTTCTAATCTTGGATTCCTTTGGGAAGATTGCAACCTTGTCAGTTGTAGAGGGTGCACTTATGAATATAATTTTAAGTATTTTGGTGGAAATTGAAACTTTTTGGCTTTAAAAATCACTCCATGCTTGTTAGCCTCTATTTATTTGTTTCCCCTTGCCAAGAGATATTTTTAAATGGATTATTTTGTGATAGTATTACACCTGTCTTACTCAGGGCTATTGTCCTGTAATAGCAGTCTTTATATAATTAATTGTAATAACAATGATTTAATATTACCTACTGCTATAGGTACAGTGTTTGGGTTGCATAAGCTCATAGATGCCAATTAGATGTAACAAGGAGTTTTTATATTTTCTTTCCTTTTTCTGGAAATGTTGTGGTATCATGGAGATAGGAACACAAACATGATTTTTATGTGAACTTAGTGTAAATCCAGAATTCTTAAATTAGATGATGCGGTACCCCCAAATTGCAAAATCTACTTTTTTGGAAAAAGAGTCAGAGCATTCTCATATTTTATTCTCTCATATTGAGAACCACTGGAAGTAAAATAATAATAATAATAATAATAATAATAATAATAATAATAATAATAATTGTTTCGTTGATACCCAGAAAACATCAGGGAAGGACCCTAAATTGACTGGAAAATGTGTCCTGTGTGTTCATGTGCAGGTAGGTGTATTGTGTGAGGTCATAGGACACTCTAGGAATACTGATCTCCTGACATTAGTATATTTATAGAAATTGTACTCTTAACAAACTTGGGTATGCTGTACTGAATTCACACTGAAGATTTCTTTATATTCTTTGGTTCTGAAATTAAAAATGATTTAGAATCATTGATAATCTATTATATCGGTGCTTTTTTTTTCTTTTCAGAATTTGCCATCTGTTGTAGTAACTCATGTTTTAAATCCTCAGCCTGGAGAAAAGATTCTAGATTTGTGTGCAGCTCCTGGAGGCAAAACAACACATATAGCAACACTAATGCATGATCAGGTAAGACTGTCTTCATAACAAAACTACTCGATGTATTACCTATTTCAGTGGTGAGGGTAGACTATAACTTAGAAAACACATCTATACTACTACTTCAGATTTATCCAAAGTGAAAATTGTTGAATTATGTCAGTTCACCAAACATTAAGTTCAGTAAACAATTATTTGTGAAGACTATCTAAAGACCTAATTGAATCCTCAATTTACTCTACATTATAGAATACAATTCTTTCCTCATATAATTAAGTTTGAAACATTTAAGAGATCTTTTCATGTTCTTTTAAAGTTTTGCCCTTGTTCTAGCTATTCTGCCACTAAATATTGAGAGTATATTATCAGGGTGGAAATGTATATGTTGATATCTATACACATAGATATATAATACATAAATAAACACATATAAATACTTACAGAATGTGTGCATCTTGAGTATCTTAAATTTTATTTAGTTTATAAAACCTGCTTCTTTGTAACAATGCAAGTAAGTGTGATCTTGGATAACTTTAGTTGAGATTTTACTGTTTTCCTATGTATGTATGTTTGCAAGGTGCTTTATCATGGACTGGTTTTATCTATTTTCAAAACTCATTATAGCCTTATAGCCTACAATTTTATTTAATTAAAGAAGTATTTAGCCATCTGATGCCATCTTTTGTTTCAAACTCCATAAATCTAAATGGTTCCTAAAATCTGAATACTTACCAGTTTCTCAGTCTAAAGCCCTTGATTGGTTGGTTGAACACTCTTTAGAATTTACTTTGTGTTAGATACTGGGGATAAAGTTGATATATTTGTGTGTTTAATTATACTCTCTTTTGCCTAATAAGAATTTAAGTAGTGGCAGGAAAAACTCTTGAAGGATAAATGTATTAAATACTAATAGTGTTTCTTTAAAAAAAAAAAAAGATGCCAACAGTGTTTAAAATAAAGCTCATGAAATAGAAGGGTTCATTTTATGACTACAGATTTTAATGCAAATCCTTTTTCAGTTTTCTTGAAACTTTAAATATACAGATTGAGGGGCTGGGGTAGTGGCTCAGGGTAGTGCATTCGACCAGCATGTTCAAGGCCCTGGGTTTGATCCTCAGCACCACATAAAAAAATAAATAAATAAAATAAAGGTATTGTGTCCAACTACAACTAAAAAATAAATATTTTAAAAATGTACAGATTGATTATGATATGATCTGACAATGAAAATAACCCCCTTTTAATTTATGACATATTTATTATATTTGCCTAATGGCTATTATTCATACATACTTTATTCTCCCTAGTAAAGTCTTTCCAAAGAGAGTCTGAATATTATATATATTCATTTTCAGCCAGTTTTATAATGCTGGGTAAAAATCACATCTAGGTAAAGAAGACAAGTAAAAATGTACCTTTTGAAAATACTCAAACGCAATATTAAATTGATGAAAACAAAAAAAAAATCTAGGGACATTATTAGCAAATTTTCTGTTATCAGTCTATGCCGTTGAGGCATATATCATAGACAGATGATATATGCAAAAGGAACAAAAGAAAATACATAGAAAAGTCAATTGCACCATTTTTTTGCAGTATCATTTCATAGTATATTTTAAAGTATTACAGTGCATTCTTAAAATTGTCATCTTTCTTAACTTTGATTTAACACAAGTTTTATCATATAAAGTAATTTTGAAGTGTTTTTAATATCAACTCCAGAATATTTTGCTGGGATGTACAGAGGTTTTGGCTCTTCTTTTTCTGCCTTTAGTTGCAAGAATTTACAGGAATTTGTGTGACTAGCTCAAAAATATTAAAATGACTATCAATTTTATAAGTAAGTTTTATTGGCATATAAAGGCACTTTAAGTTAGATGTCTCATAGCATTAGTTCATCCTCTTTGAGAGGTAAGGAAGTCACATCAAATTGGTGATTTTTGATGTTTACTTTCGATAGGTGTTTTTGAGCTTCTTGAAGATTGCAAACACTATTTTCAGTTTTGATTTCTGTTGATTAAAAGTAGCTAACTATAAGAAAGATTAGTTATCGAAGGATATCTTTTAAAAGGAAAGACTTAAGTATTTGCTGTAAATTTGGTATGTTTGTTCAATGAGTTTGTAGAGTAGGAATGAGAGGATAGTGGGGAAGACTAATTTTTCACCTGTTTTTTGTATTTTCATGACTACTTTTGATTTTTTTATATTAGGGAGAAGTAATAGCACTGGATAAAATATCCAACAAAATAGAAAAAATCAAGCAGAATGCTTCATTATTTGGATTGAACTCCATCAAGGCATATTGCTTTGATGGAACAAAGGCACTTAAACTTGATATGATTGAGAACACAGAAGGTGAGTTAAATTTTGTTATTTTTAATGAGCAAATTGTAATTGCATTTTTTTTTTTTTTTGGTACCAGGGATTGAACCCAGGGGTGCTTAACCACCAACCCACTTCCCCAGCACCCCTCCCTTTAAAATTAATTATTTTTTTCTTAATTAGGTCTATATGACAGCAGAATGCATTTTGATTCATTGTACACAATTGCAGCGCAACTTTACATTTCTATAGTTGTACACGATGTAGCGTCACACTATATATTCAGTCATATATGTACCTAGGATAATGATGTCCATCTCATTCCACCATCTTTCCTGCCCCCATGTACCCTCCCTACCCTTTGCCCAATCAAAGTTCCTCCATTTTTCCCATGCCTCCTCCTCCCGCATTATGGATCAGTATCTACTTATCACAGAATAGTTGGCCTTTGGTTTTGGGGGACTGGCTTACTTTGCTTAGCATGATATTCTCCAATTCCATCCATTTACCTGCAGATGTCATAATTTTACTCTTTTATTGCTGAGTAATATTCCATTGTGTATATATACCACAGTTTTTTTATCCATTCATCTATTGAAGGGCATCTAGGTTGCTTCCACAGTTTAGCTACTGTGAACTGAGCTGCTATGAACATTGATATGGCTGTGTTACTATAGTATGTTGATTTTAAGTCCTTTGTATATAGACCCAGGAGTGGGATATCTGGGTCAAATGGTGGTTCCATTCCCAGTTTTTTAAGGAATCTCCATACTGCTCTCCTTATTGGTTGCACAACTTTGCAGTGCCACCAGCAATGTATGAGTGTGCCTTTTCCCCCACATCCCCGCCAACATTTATTGTTGTCTGTATTCTTGATAGCTGCTATTCTGACTGGCATGAGATGAAATTGGAAATCCATATGCAGCAAAATGAAAATAAGCCCGTCTCTCACCATGCACAAAACTCGACACAAAGTAGATTAAAAACTTAGAATTGGTCCAGAGATCCTGTGCCTAATCGAGGAAAAAGTAGGCCCAAATCTTCATCATGTCAGATTAGGGCCCCTGCTTCTATAACAAGACTCCTTAAGCACAAGAAATAAAACCAAGAATAAATGAGATGAACTCAAACCAAAAGTTTATTCTCAGTGAAAGAAATAATCAATGAGGTGAACAGAGAGCCTACATTTGGGAGGAAATTTTTGCCACACACACATCAGATAGAGCACTAATCTCCAGGATATATGAAGAACTCAAAAAACTTAATGCAAAAACAACAGCAGCAGCAGCAACAACAAAACCAAATAACCTAATCAGTAAATGGGCTATGAAGCTGAACAGACACTTCTCAGAAGAAGATATACATTCAATCAACAAATATATGAAAAAATGTTTAACAACTCTAGTAATTAGAGAAATGCATATCAAAACTACTCTAAGATTTCATTCTAGCCCTTTTTTATATTTTATTAGAGACAGGGTCTTGCTGAGTTTCTTAGGGCCTCACTAAGTTGCTGAGGCTGGCTTTGAACTTGGGATCCTCCTGCCTCAGCCTCCTGAGTCACGGGGATTACAGGCATGCGCCACCATGTCCAGTTGCATTGATGTTTTGATATGTGTATAAATGTGGAATGATCAAAGCAGGCAAATTAACATATCCATCAATTCATTTTTTTGTGTGATGAAATTTATTCTTAGCAATTTTGAAAAAAAATTTATATACACACACATATACGTGTGTGTGTGTGTATAACTGTAGTAATGATGCTGTGCAGTAGATACCAAAAACCTGTTCCTCCTATTTAGCTGAAAGTGTATACTTTTTGAACAGTATCTCTCCAGCCCCTCCTCACTCTCTGAGTCTCTGGAACCACTATTCCATTCTACTTCTGTGAGTTTGACTTTTTAAATATTCCATACATGAGTGAAATCATGCTGTATTTGTCTTTTGGTGCCTTGGTTATTTCACTTAACATAATGTACTCCATATTCATTCATATTTCACAAATAACAGTTTCCTTTTTTATTTTTTTTAAGACTAAATAGCATTCTATTGTGTATATAGCTCATTTCCTTTATCCATTTATCTGTCAGTGGACACTGGGTTGATTCCATGTCTTAGCTGTTGTGAATAGTGATGCAGTAAGCATGGGAGTGCAGATACCTTTCTGACATTAATCCCAATTCTTTTGCATATATTCTCAGTGAAGGGATTGCTAGATCATAGTAGTTTTATTATGTAGGTTTCTATTTATTTATTTATTTATTTAAAGAACTAGACCACTCTCCATAATGGCTGCACTATACGTTTCTGATCAAAAGCATGCTGGTGTTCCTTTTTGTCCATGCTCTCACCAAGTTATCTTTTTGTTTTTTCATTAGTAACCTCCTGTCAAATCTGAGCTGATAAATTTCATTATGGATTTTATTTGCATTTCCCTGATTAGTGATGTTAAGTATTTTTTCATACATTTGTTAGCCACATCTTCTTTTGAAAAATGTGTATTCTAGTCATTTGCCCAGTTTTAAATTGGTCTCTTGCTTTAAATTTGAGTTTCTTGTGTATTTTGGATTATTAACTCTTTATCAGATATGTGGTTTACAGATATTTTCTCCCATTATGTGGGTTTTCTCTTCACATTGTTATTGTTTCCTTTGCTGTACAGAAGCTTTTTAGTTTCATGTAATTGTATTTGTCTATTTTTGTTATTGTTACTTGTGCTTCATGGGCCATATCTAAACAAATAATCACCTACCAATGTCATGGAACTTTTCTTCTATTATTTTACATTTCCAGGTCTTTAATCAATTTGGAGTTTATTTTTAAACATGGCTTTATATAAAGATCCAATTTTGTGCATGTGGATGGTCAGTTTTTTTGGTGCCATTTATTGAAGGTACTGTTGTGTGCTCTTACTATCTTTATTGAAAATAAATTTTCTGTGAATGCATAGATTTATCCTCAGACTTTTTCATACCATTGGTCATTGTGTCTATTTTTGTGACAGTACCTCATTGTGTCAATTTTTGTGACAGTACCGTGCTGTTTTGATTATTGTAGCTTTGTACTATAAATGTAGCAGGTAGTATAATTCTCATACCTTTGTTCTTTTTACTCAAGATTGTTTTGGCTATATTATTTTATGGTTCATAATAATTTTAGAATTGTTTTTTCTATGTCTGTGAAAAATGACATTAAAATTTTGAGGAGGATGCATTGATTCTATACATAGCTTTCGGTGGTGTGGACATTTCAACAATATTAAGTTTTCTAATGCTTAGAGATTGCATACCTTTTTGTCCTTGAATTTTTTTCCTCAGTGCTTTGTAAAAGTTTTTTTGTATATAGATCTACTTTGCAGTTACATTTTCTCTTGTGTATTTTATTCTTTTGTTTCTGTGAGTTGAGTTTTTTTGTTTATGAAAAGTGTTTAAAGTATGGAAACACTATTGATTTTTTAATATGGCTTTTATATCCTGCAACTTACTGAATTTGTTTATCAGTTCTAATGTTTTCTGGTGGAGTCTTTAAAGTTTTCCATATATGATCATGTCATTAGCAAACAGATAATTTCACTTCTTCCTTTCCTGTTAGGGTGCCTTTTATATCTGTCTTTTGGCTAATTGCTGTGGTTAGGACTTCTAATTCTGTGTTAAGAAGAAGAGGTGAGAGTGGTCATCCTTATTCCTGATTTCACAGAGAAATTTTTTTTTTTTTAACTTTTCCCCATTGTTTGTGATGCTAATTGTGGGCTTTATTGTGTTGAGGTTCTTCCTTTTTTACCTAATTTATTGAGAGTTCTTAATCATGAAAGGATATTGAATTTTTGTCCTGTGCTTTATCTGCCTCCATGAGATGATTATAGAGGTTTTGCCCTTCATTTTCACATTAACTGACTTATGTATATAAATCATACTTGTATTCCTGGAATAAATCCCATTTGATCATTTTGAGTGATCTTTTCAATGTATTGCTAGATTTTTATTACTTTTTTTGAGGATTTTTATATCCATATTCAGCAGGGATATTGAAGTAATTTTTTTTTTATTTTCTAGTGGTATCCTTAGACTTTGGCCTCAGGGTAATGTTGGCCTTATAAGTTTGGAAGAATTCCAAGATTTTGAAAGAGTTTGGGAAGTACTGGTGTGAGTTCTTCTGTAAATGATTAACAGAATTCATCAATGAAGCCATCAGGTCATGAACTTTTCTTTTACTGATTGAATCTCATTACTCCATCTGATATTCAGATGTTCTTTTCATGATTCAATCTTGGTGGGTTTGTGTGTAGGAATTTTTCTTTTAGGTTATTCAGTTTTTGGGTGTGTAGTCATTTGTAGTAATAGTTTATGATCCTTTCTATTCTCCGGTATTGGTATTCATGACTTTATTTTCATCTTTTCACTTTCAGTGGGTTTCCTTAAAGATGAAGTCAGTGTCTTATAGGGAGCATGTATAGTTGGGTGTTTTTAAGATCATTTAACTACTCTGTCTTTTATTTGAGAAATTTTATCCATTTGTGTTCAAAATCATTATTGATTGGTAAGGACCTAGACGTCATTTTGTACTTTACTGAATTTGTTTGGTGTCCTTTGTTCTTCCTCTTTTGATGTCCTTTGGATTTGGTGCTTTTTTTCTTTCTTTTCTTTTTTTGGTAGTGCTAGGGATTGAACACAGGACCTTGTGCAGGTGAGGCAAGTACTCTACAACTGAGCTATATCTCCAGCCCTGGTGCCTTTTTCTAGTGGAATGTTTTGATTCCCTATTTTTTTTTTTTCTTGTTTGTGTACTGCAGCTTTTTGTTGTTGTTTTGTTTGTTTGTGTTGGTCATGAGCCTTTTGTTAAATGTCTCAAATTTATAACAGGCTATTTTAAGCTATTAATAACTGAAATTAGCATTTTAAAAAACTAAGATTTTTTTACTTTATTCTCCCCACATTTTATACTTCTATAGTCATAATTAATGTATTTTATATTGTGTATCCTTACCAATTACTGTAATTTTTTTTTTTTTTTTTGTACTAGGGATTAGAAACCAGGGACACTGAGCCACATCTCTAGACCTTCTTATTATTTTGAAACAGGGTCTTTCTAAGTTACTTAGGGCCTTGATAAGTTGCTGAGGCTGGCTTTGAACTTGCAATCCTCCTATTTTTCATAGCATTACATTTTAACCTTCTAAAGATATGTGTTTTATATACCATCATTATAAATGAGTATTCTGTATTTGATTATTATATTTATGAATGGGTTTTGTACTTTCATATTTTTTTCTCTCTACTAATTAGCATCATTTATTTTGTTTCTACTCAGAGTTCCCATTAAGCTAGATCTGGTGGTGAATTCTCTCAGCTTTTGATTGGAACAGTTTTGAATCTTCGTTTCTGAAGGACAGTTTTGCTGAGAAGAGTATTCTTTGTTTTTTGTTTTTGTTTTAACTTCAACATTTAGAATATATCATCTCATTTTTTAGGTTTGTAAAGTTTCTGCTAGTAAGTCTGTTGCCAGCCTATTGAAACTTCCTTATATGTGATATGCTTCTTTTGCTGCTTTCAAGATGATCTCTTTGTCTTGTGTTTTTGATAAATTGTATGTCTTAGTGTTGTTTTGTTTGGATTGAATTTGATTGGTATACCTTGACCTTCCTGTACCTTTTATGTTTTCCTCCCAATTTGGAAATTTTTTTATTTTTTTTTAATAAACTTTCTAACATTTTTGTCTCTTTTCCTTCTAGAACTGCTATAATTAGAAAATGTGATATTTGGGGGCTTTGCTGAATGTTCTGTAAGATTTCTTCATTCCTTGCATTCTTTTCCCCCCTGACTTTATATATTTAAATATTTCTTTTTTGAGTTCACACATTCTTTCTTCTGCTTGATCAGTTCCCACTTTTGATTATATCATTTTTCCTTTTGTTCGTTGTATTTTTTAGCTCCAGAATTTGATTTTCTGTTTTTTGTTTGTTTGTTTGGTTTTTGTTGTTGTTGTTGGTGGTGGTGGTGATGGTGGTGGTACTGGGGATTGAATTCAGGGGCACTCAACTACTGAGCCACATTCCTGGCACTGTGATAGACTTTGAGCTTGAGTATTCAGGCACCAACTAGTTGCTGATATAGTTATGGGGCTAGGTGTACTGGAATAGGATTGGAGCTTAGATTATAGGGTCTGGCCTAGTAATGAGTCAGGCCCATGCTCTCTGTCTTTAGGATTGGACCTGGATCCTGTGTCTGAGAGGTTGGCCTGGAACTTGGGTCTTTATGAATGTTCCTGGAAGCTTAGTCCATGGGGTCCAGCCTGGCTGCAGTGTTTATTGGGGCCAGCTTAAATTCAGAATCTTCTAGAACAGGCCTGGACCCTGGTTCTAATATAGTAGGTATTGTGACAGGTATGGATCTTGCATTTGTGGGTGCCAATCTGGCACCTGGGATTAGGGTATTTGCCCTGTTTGTACCTAGAACTATAGGTTACTGTGATCCCCGAGGCTGCCTGGAGTCTAGGTGTATAGGTCCTCTTTTAGTGGCTGGATCCTTGAGTGTTTGCCTGAGAACCTGGATCCTCAGGGATATTCCTAGCGTCTGGTTTCTAATACAGCACTGGAGTATATTGGAGCAAGTTTGAAGTGTGGGACCACATAGGCTGGCCTGGGGGATGGTGCTATTGGGGTCTGCTCCTTCTAGATGTTCCTGGGGTGGGCCTGTTTATTGAAATCTGAGGCGAAATGCTATTGGCTTACTGCCCTCCTTCTTCCAAGCAAAGGATGTTTCTCTCTAGATTGTGCTGCCTGGAGTTGAAGGAGAGGCAATGTGAGTAATGTAAAATTGTCCTTCCTACCTTCTTATAAGTGAGTCTTATTTCTGTACTATACACAGGTACTATAATCTCTCACCTGCTTGCTTTTCTTTTGTAAAGGTATTTTCTGGTGAATAATTGTTCAAATTGATGTTTCAAGGTATGGGCATAAGTGCACTAAAGCCTTATTCCACCATCTTGCTGACATCCAGCCTTGCATCCATATTACTTATGATGTCACTTGCTTTTAGTGTGAAGAACTTCCATGAGTATTTCTTAACAGATAGTGGTGCCACCAACAAATAACATTTTTTTTTTTCCTGGAAATATCTCTATTACACCATTATTTAAAAAATAATTGTGTAAAACATAAGGTATTTGGTCACCTGAGGATATTTTCTTTCTGCACTTTGAATTTGTCATCTTTGCGTCTTTTGACCTTGGTTGTCCCTGATGAGGAATCAGCTGTTAATCTTAGTGTAGTTCTTTAGCATTAATATGTTTTGCTGTGGATCTTTTTTTCATTTTTCCTACTGAGAGTTCATCTCTTTGGATGTATATATTGAAAACTATTCATATTTGATGGAAAAAAATTCAGTCATAATTGTCTAAAAATTTTTTTTAATAGAGAGAATTTTTTTTTAATATTTATTTTTTAGTTTTTCGGCGGATACAACATTTGTATGTGGTGCTGAGGATCAAACCTGGGCCGCATGCATGCCAGGCGAGCGTGCTACCGCTTGAGCCACATCCCCAGCCCCTAAAAATTTCTTAATATTTGCTGGAGCAGAGCAGAAATACGTCAAATATCTCTTGGTGTATTTATATGATTTTATAATGGAGATTATTTTAAAACATGAAAGCAGCAATACAACACAATGATGAAGACACATTTACTACCCAGCATTTATATATATAAGCTGACTAATGTAACAGATTGTGAAAAAAATTATAAAATATTTAATAGAAGAAATATTAATAGTCTTAATGTACAAAGAACTACTCTAACCAATGAGAAAAAGATAGTCTCAATAGATAAAGAGTAAGCAAAGGGTACCCCCCACCCACACACACACACAAAAAGGTCACAAATGACCAATAAAGTAAAAATCACGTTTGGGGATTTTGGGAAACAAATACATTCATGATAATGAAAATGTAAGTAGTATAATCTTTCCAGAGGATTTTACCAATATGTGTCAAAAATCCCAAAGAAAAATTTCTTTGAACAGAATTTCTACTAAGACAATAGGTAAGAAAGCAAGAGGTAGTAGTAGATGGAAATGAATTAAATTGATAATTGTTTGTGTCTAATAGAGCTTTGCAATCAGAAAAGCAGAGAGTGAGATTTAGAATATTACTGTGGGTCCTGTAGGATCAACTAGCTGTAACTAAAGCAATCAGTAGCAGGTAGGTAAATAAAATGGTCTGCTTTTATATTTGTTAAAGACTTTCTCCAGTAATAGTAAATAGATCAGAAATTGGAATGGAAAAGTTATTCAAGTGAATGCAAAGGGAACCTTGATGAATCCAAGGAGGGTAATGACTCATCCTAGATCTTAGCCATACTGATGGCCACAGACACAAGGAGGCCAAAGAACTACAGAACTAGAACCAGGATGTTTGACTACAACCCACCAGGCTCTCTTTTCTTCTGGAGCTGTCTGCTCTAGGAATTAGCAAAAGAACTGTCAGTTTACAGAATTAATTCCAAGTCCTAGGTTTAATAAATAGTGGCTTCTAATGTTAGGGTATGGGGTATCATTTGATTAAACCTAGATCTATATGATATTAACAGAATAATTAGACACTATAATAACTACGTTTTTAACCTTTGTACAAAGTCAAATCTACATTAAATAGAAGTAGTAGGTTAACCAGGTACTTGATTAAAGGGAGAAATTGTTTCCAGTATTTTTTTCTTCTAGGTTATAATTTGTAAATTCCTGATCATCACTTCTATCTTAAAGAGTTTCTATTGAGATCAATATAGAAGATAACAAGTAACATTTACAATCCTCTCTGTAGGAGCACCTCCATTCTTACCAGAATCTTTTGACCGAATTCTCCTTGATGCACCCTGTAGTGGAATGGGACAGAGACCAAACATGGCTTGTACTTGGACTTTGAAGGAAGTAACATCGTATCAACCGCTACAGCGAAAACTCTTTTCTGTGGTATGTTATGCTCCTTTGCTGTGAAGGAAGTTGAACATTACTAGTTAGACATTGAAAGCATTAGGAAAATGTTTTTTTTTTTTTTTTTTAATAATTTTTTTTAAGAGGGAGGGAGGGAGAGAGAGAGAGAGAGAGAGAATTTTTTAATGTTTATTTTTTAGTTTTCGGTGGACACAACATCTTTATTTTATTTTTATGTGGTGCTGAGGATCGAACCCAGCGACCCGCGCATGCCAGGCGAGCGCATTACCGCTTGAGCCACATCCCCAGCCCAGGAAAAATGTTTATAGCAGCAGTTTTCACTGTAATCAAAAAGTGGAAACAAGCTGGATGCAGTGGCGCACACCTGTAATCCCAGTGGTTTGGGAGGCTGAGACAGGAGGATTATGAGTTCAAAGCCAGCCTCAGCAACAGCGAGGCACTAAGCAACTCTAAATAAAGTACAAAATAGGGCTGGGGATGTGGCTCAGTGGTATAGTGCCCCTGAATTCAATCTCTGGTCCCTCCCCCACCCCCAACCCCAAATGTGGAAACCACTCAAGAGTCATAAGCAAATAAAAATTTGGTATACCTGTATGTTGAATATTATTCAGCCTTAACAAAGAGTGAAATTCTGATATATGCTGTAGTAAGTTTGGACCTTGATGACATTATGCTAAGTAAAATAAGCCAGACACAAAAGAGAAAATTTTGCATGATTCTGCTTATATTAGGGCATTAGAATAAGTAGATCTAAAAAAACAAAGTAAAGTTGATCAGGGAGTAAGACAGTGGGAGGATGGGGAGATACGGTCTAATGGTTATAGAATTTCTGTTTGGGATGATGACAAAAGTTATAAAGATGAATAGTAGTGATGGCTGTACAAATGTTCTTAATGCCATTGATTCATATATGTAAAAATGGTTAAAAGGGTCAATTTTATGTATATTTTACTATGTATAAGGCAAAGACTGAAAAGAGCTCATTTTAAATATAGGGCTCTCTTTTATGTTGACTCATCTTTTAAATACATAGGCAGTTTCTTTGCTGAGACATCAGTGAATTCCAAACATCCTGATGCATCTTTGGGAAAAAAAAATTTTTTTTGCTGAGTTGTTCCTATACTTACTAATATTTCACACGTAGTTACCTATTGATGTGAAGAATCTGATGTAAATTATTCTTTTCATAGCCTGGGTCATTTTTAGCATACAAAAAGCAGGAAGTCTAACAGGGGCAAATGCATTAATTTAAAATGGGAAGGACAGTCTCCAGTGTAAAATGTAGAAAGACCATAAGAAGTGCAAACTTAACTGATCTCCAATGTGTTTCAAAAGAAGCCTAGGTAGACTATTTGAGGATTTGTCATTCTTGGAAAAATGGCTTAATGGATTTTTACAAAGTATAGACAACATTTGATCAAAGATGACTTCATTATTTCCTCTCAGCCCTCTAACTATAATACATAGACCACAGCAATAATGGAAATAGTGATTATTCAGTCTCAAGTTGTCTTTGAGTTCATTTATATTAATCACTTCACACACCAATGTAGCACTCTTTGTGGATTAGATAACTATTTCAGAGACGACATCCTTGGCTTTAAAACAGAAAAAGCTTACATAACGCAGCACAATTTGGTTGTTATAGGTTTTAACGAGAAAATCTGTTTAAAGTATTTCACATAATACCTGGCACAGAGTGATAAAGTTTAAATTTTCCAGTGAAGAAAACAATAATATATGTCCTGTGAGTGTGTTGTGTGTTCTGGGTTTTTTTTTGTTTGTTTGTTTTTTGTACTGGGGATTGAACTCAGGCGCTTAAACCACTGAATTAGCTCCCCACACCTTTTTAGTATTTTATTTTAGAGACAGGGTCTTGCTGAGTGGCTCTGAACCTCTCTTAAGTGCTGAGGCTGGTTTTGAATTCATGATGCTCCTGCCTCAGCTTCCCTGAGCTGCTGGGATTACAAGCCTATGCCACCAGGCCTGGCAATGTTCTGTGCTTTTAAAAACGGTTTTTGCAAAAAGTTTTTAAAATAAAATCTGAAAAGATAAACTTTAGACAAATTCACTTTAGCATAACCTTATTTCTTGATTTATTTGACAGATATTTACTGAGCACCTATTATATGCAAGATGCTATTGTAGATGTTGATGATACAGTAGAAAAGTTTCACTAAACCACGCCCTTATTTTCTGGGGTTTCTATTCTAACTGGAGAAGGAAATAAGTTTATTATATTATAAGACAGTAATGCTATGGCATTATGGAGCAAACTGGCACAGAGTAATAAGGAAAGTAAGGTGGGAGAGATGCTAGATTGTAATATTTGGGATTTTATGTGGGGTGGTCAAGAAGAGCTTTGCTGACGAGGTGACATGTAAACTAAGATAAGATTGTAAAGGAATAAGCAATCTGAGAATTAGGAGAGCTTTCCTACCTGGTGCAGAGATCCTGAAGTGGGAGTCGCCCTTGCATGTTCCAGGAACAGCAGGAGGCCACAGTTTCTGAAGCAGAGTGAACAAGGGTGAGAGGTGTACCTAGGGGGCATCAGAAAGACAACAAGAGACCTCAGCACTTGAGAGGTTCTGAGCCACTCAGCAAGACCCTGTCTCAAAATAAAATTGTTGTCTGTGTAGGGCCTTGAAGGCCTCCTTGAATTTGACTTTGATTCTTAAGTGATAATGGAGGACATTGGAAAGATTTAGGCTGCAAGGTGACAAGTTTAGAAGGGATGTTGTGATAATGAGAATAGATGGTAGGAGAGCAGGGAAGGAAGCAAGTAGTTGAACTAGGAGACTATAGCTGTGATGCAAGCAAGAGATAAAGAAGGTTGGGCCAGAATGACAGCAGGGGAAGTATTGAAGTGGCCAAATTCTAGATATTTTAAAAGCATACCAGTAGGGTTTGCTGATGGATGATGAACATGACAGAGGTATAAAGGATAATCTAAGGTTGGGGCCTGAACTATCTTGGAAGGATGGAAAGACTTTCTAGTAGGTTTCAGAGGGTAGATAACAGTTCATTTCAGGACATGTCAGGTTTGATAGTAGTAACTCCAAGGAGGCAGCTGAGTATATGAGTACAAAACGCAGGAAGAAATTTTGGTCTAAAAATGTCAATTTGTGCAATTTTGGGAGTGTTTGACCTATAATTGGTATCTAAAGACATGAAAGTGAGAGTGTTGGTCCATATGGGGTATGGGAGCTCCAAAGTAATTCATCTAGACTGGAATAAAAGTATTTCATGCTTAATAATATGCCATAGGGAACGTAATTTTAATTCTCCCCAATACTTGAAAAATATTGTACCTTAAGGCTATATAATCTTTTCAACTATTTCTGTGGTTTGGTGGTATGCCTGGTCTGACCATAGATTTCTTTAGGCAGTTCAGTTGTTGAAGCCAGGGGGTGTGCTAGTTTATAGCACATGCACTATAACATTGGCAGAAAATGAAGAACAAGTTGCCTGGGCCCTCACAACGTTTCCTTGCCTTCAGCTTCAACCCCAGGTAAGAGTAATTTCATTTTATTCTCTCTGTAATCTCATGAATCACAGAAAATGAAGTACAGTGTGTCGTATGAGGAAACATGTCAAGTAAAACTCTGACTCAAATATCATCATAAACAAGAATGTCTCTATTTAGGTCCATTTTAGATACTCTGTAAGGAATTTCCTTGTCCTGATGAAAGTTCTTCCCTGGCTTTTTTTTTTTTTTTTTTTTGACTATTTATTTTTGGGTTTTTTTTTTAGGTGGACACTATATCTTTATTTTATTTGTATGTGGTGCTGAGGATCGAACCCAGCGCCCCGCACATGCCAGGTGAGCGCACTACCACTTGTGCCACATCCCCAGCCCTCTTCCCTGGCTTTTTACTTTGTCATGTCTTAAAATGGCACAGAGTTTGGGTGTAATTTTTGTTACATGTTTATTCTACTGATAGGTGTTGTTCTATTTTACTTGGCACTTTGTTTCCAAAAAAGCTTTCCCCCCTTTCCAGTCCTATATTTTTGTTATGAAATTCATTGAGAGCATTTTTTCTCATGTCAAATCATAGCCCAAACTGACTTTACTGAGGGATATCAAAAGAGCAACCAAGAGAGAGAAAAAAAAAAGTCGTTCAGTATTATTGCTTCTTTATAATTTATTGTATGAAAAATGTTTAATTTTTAAATGCTCCAAGGTTTAGAGATAGTAAAGCTGATTTTTATCTATTGCTTTATTGATAATAGTATTCCATTTATTGAGTGGCCACTTTATGCAGGACACAATGCTACCTCTATTCAGTTTCAGAACTGAGTAAATGGGACAGAGCTGCATGCAGTTTTATGGTTCTGTGAAGTGTAGGCTTTTTGTAATTTCATGGTAATTGATAAGCATGTAGGACATGTTGGATGCTCTTTCCCACGTACTATATACAGAAAACAAAATTTACATTCCATAAAAGTGAAAGGTATTTACTCACTTTTCTGTTCTTGGAAGATGTGGTAGGTTCAACTTGATTTATCTTCTACCTTAAATTGTACCAGCCCTGCTTACTAATTACAGGGCATTCGTCCACATTTATTTGCTCCCAACAGGAACCACAAATTGGAGGAGAAGGAATGGTGGGAGCTGGCCTATCATTTGAACAATTGAAACAGCTGCAGCGATTTGATCCATCCGTTGTGCCATTACAGGACACTGACATTGATTCTCTCAGAGATGCCAGCATAGAAGACATGATTTGGCTGGCAAATAAGGATTGTATAGGATTTTTTATTGCAAAATTTCAAAAATGCAAAAGCACATTGGAAAAGGATCCTCAGAAATAAAAATTCCAAACATTTGTTATTGTTTTTTTTTTTTTTTCCCCTTAAATTGTTGTCAAGCCAACTGAATGATGTCCTGGTAGCTATGGTAACAGAGAAAGCTGCCAGTAGTTTAACCAGAGATCTGAAAAAGAGAAAGTATGTGTGTTTGGGGAGGGGAGGCTGAAATTATATTCTGAGTTTATAAAATAATTTTTTCTCTATGTATTCAGTAGAATATAAATAAAAGGAGCTATGGATGTCTGGAACATTTTCATGTAGGGTCTTAATTTATAAAGAATATCAGTTATATTTATTATGAAAAAAGTGGACCAAACCAGTGGAATAAAATTAGCAATATTTAATGTGGTTATTTAAAAAGTTTTCTGTTCCCAGGATCCTAAGTAGTTGTTTCCTTAATTCAGGGCCTGGGACATACAACATTTACCATGTGCCAAGAACCAAGGGAAGTATTTTATCTTACTTTTTCTGCTTATTATTTGGTAAATCGTCTTTTAAATGAAGTTTGGCCTTTTCTAAATGATAGTCTTTAAACAAAAAAGTAAAATGAGTATTTTCTTTATGGGTAAAATAAATGAGAACATTCCACATTCTGGGTACCTTTATCATCTGTTGGACCACATTGTACAAGTTTTTAGAAAGTGCTTGGTAAGAATGAGAAAACCAGCTTCTGATAACAGGTTGTCACAGCTGGATCTTGTTCTATTGAACATAACCAGTTTCACAGGACAACTATGTTTTTGACTGATCAAGACAAAAAAAGAACACTTCCTATAAAACCTGAATTCATGCAAAAAATAAGATCACCATTCAAACTGCAAAAATGACCAAACATACTACTGTGGTGGCCAGAGTATCTACTTCTTAAAAAAAAAAAAAAAAAAAAGGCTTGCTTCATTCTACCCAGGTGTTTTTGTATGTGTTTTGGGGGGTGGGGTGCTGGGGATTGAACCCAGGGCCTGGTGCATGCAGGGCAAGCACTGTACCAATGGAGTTATATCCCTTTACCCAGTTTTTAGATAAACTCTGTAAATACTCAAGACCCAACCAGAGTTTAAAGGCTGTCTTATTTGTTAAATACATCAGACTGTTTTGTTAGCTTTCATTCAAATCTCTCAAAATGTTACTGGGCCTTGGGTATAAGAAAGGAACTATTGGAAACAATTCCCTAATATTTGATTCGTTTTTTCCCTCATCAGTTCCTTTAGGAATTTCTCATAACTGCTTATTGTATCCATAATGATTGCAAGGTCTCTTGGATCAGGTAGGTAGTAAGGTCTCTTCCTTGAACAAATCTTTCTTGGTCACACTCTTCTGAGTTCTCTTTGTGTATATCTCTGGTACCCATATCTTATGCTGTCATGGCACCTAGTACTTTTGCTTACCAGCCCTGTCCTGAGCCCCACTCCCATGCTTGGAAAACATGTTGAAAATGGAGACCCCCCCTTTTTTTTTTAATTGGGTCATTGCTTCAGAGTAGATAGTTAATAGATGTTTACTGAGAAACAATTTATTTCAAGCTTTATAGGATTAAAATATGTGACCCCTGCACACTCCTCATTTGGCCTAGTGTCTAGTAGATGTTATTTTAAAAAACATTATTTCTTGTGATACTTCTGTAACAGGGCTCCACATGCTCCCTCACATTTTAAATATTTCCTTTCATGCTGTCTGAAAAGCCTTAGCTGGGATGGTCATGGTAGAAGAGCAGTGTGGCAACAAACTTGTATGAACTTTGGATCAATACCAGTAACTCTCAAAATATAACTAATGCCGGTGAAATAGAATAGATATTTGTATATTTAAAGCAGTAAGAACAAATAATATTGTTGAAAGTTTTCCTTTAACCTAGGTGATTTTCAGTGGGTGTTTTTCCTTCAAATAATTACAAATTGGAAAATTTAACTGTTCAATTTTAAAGAACACAAAAATGTAAGGAAAATCAGAAATGTAGGATAGAATGTATCTTTTAATATATTTTTAAAAATACTTGAATTCAATAGTATATTACTTTAAATCCTATCATATTTTACTTTAAATCACAAAATGAAGTACAAATAGTTAAAAATAAATTTTGGCAGAAATTAAAGTGTTTTCTCTAGCAGTGCAACTCCTGTTTTAATAAGAGCAGAGCATCTAAGACTAGTAGCAATACATCACTGAGCAAAAGAAAAAGGATGAGAAATGAAATACATCATAAAGATGGATCTTCTTCTTAAAACGTAATCCCCAAATCATTGCACATATTAAGGCAGGAGGAAGATCACTGTTATAGCTCATATCTTAACAAATCCTTTACATACCTTAATTTTTTTTTTTAATCCAGCATAATGGATAAAGGAACACCAAGTAGTTAGCAGTGCTCCTAAGGAAGATGCTCCACCATGGGAAGGGTTGTTGAATATGTAACAAGTTCTTAAAATCATTCCTAAAATTGGCAATTAATACTACTACTAATAAACAGTGCAGAAGCCAGCTCTTTATTTGTTTTATATGAATGACTTTAAACCAGGTTTGTTGAACAGTTCATTGTAGCTGACAGTGCATGTTTGTTTAACAGGAATGCATAGCAGACCATGTTAAAATGTGGCATTGTCCCAAAGTACAGTATGACTAAGACATCCTACATTTAGCAGCACCTTTTTGTAACAGTAACTTAAATAAGCAGTAGAGAAAAGCATAGGAAAAAATCGAAATGGGTATGACAAAGACCAGTAAAGAACATTTCCAGCATTTTCTAGGTTGACTACAAAAATCATGGTTGTATAAATGTATAGGTTAAGATTAAGCCTCTGCTGTGTGAAGACTAATTTTACATTCCACAAGTCAGTAAATATCCCATTGTCCTTGTGATTATTTCTTCATTTATAGATGTGCTACACACATTTATGCATATGCCCACTATACAGTTTTCACATAAATGCTCTATCAGATTCTTCAATATTTTTATTTAAGGAATACTCTAATTTATACTAATGTGTTCCACAGTCAAGTGAGAAACTAAGAATCGGGGACAAAATTAAAAAGATGAAATCTATTAGCACTATTGATAGCAGCAGGAAAGGTAAATGCCAGTTATACTTCAAGAATTTCAGAATTCCAAAGTCGTTAATTGGGATGAACTAACATGTAAGAAAGGAATGGATTGGTAATTAATATCTTAGTGTGTGTTTTAAAAGAAATTTAAATTGGAATATATTTTTTTAATCATGTAAAGTTATGTCAAAACTAATGACTATATTCTGTAAATTTTTATAAGCAGTACAGAAGACTAATTCTGAAAGAAATTTTTCACTTAGATGATAAAACAGTTTTAAAACTCCAGTATTCTTGGGTGTAGGGGAAATAATGCCCAAGAATATTTGGCAAGAACTTGGAATAATTAAGAAAGCAAAACAAAAAATAAATTACTATAATTATTATTGTTAAATAAATTAATGTACAGATCTGAAGTTAGGCAATATAGATAGGCATTTCCTGGGACAAGCTTCAAGTGCTAGGTATTTGCACACCTAATACTGTCTTAACAATTGAGAAACAGAATTTTTTAGCATTAGCAAAATACCATTGGAAGCTCCTACAGCAGTATAATTGAGGCATGGAGATAGTGTCTTCTAGATTCCCCTTCAGATTAGATGTATGAAAATATTAATATTTCATTCACTTCAAGTCACCCCATTTTGCCCTGATAACTTCTGAAGAGCAGAAACTTTGGTTATAAGAAGCACTTCTGGGTTCTGACGGACAGTGAAACTATTCAAGTTGGTGGTGGGAGGAACGGTAGGTAACTAGGAGATAAACAACAAGATTAATAGGCAAGGTTAGAAAATGAAGTGGGAGAAGTTATAAAAATTTATTTTACTATGAAATACTTCCACAAGCTGTGTAAACATTTCTTACTAAAACAAATACTCTAACACACAAAGATTGGATATTTCCAGTGAAACACTCACAGTAAAAGTTGCCTGTATTTTTACTCTCTAGGAGCAAAAATAAGGAGCCAGCAGATGAATGCTTTCCTAGTTACCTTTGGCAGCAAGCTTCCTCACCTTCCCTGACTTCTCAATGGATTATTAAAGCAACATATAGCACGATTAAGTACAAAGCCAGGTGAGAATTCTAGATAGCAGACTATAGTTTCTTCATTAGTCTTCAGCATCTCAATCATCTCAGTCACTCGTGCACATTCTTACGTACAGACACATGCACACAGCGGGTTCCGGCTCTCATACTCCAGTGCCATGACTAGCTCCTAAGTATGTGTTTGTCACAATCTGGGTGAACTGTATGGAGTAGAACAATCTCTGGAGTTTGGTTATATTTACCATAATTTATGATTAAAATTATAAACTTACAAGGATGGTAGAACATTCAGAAATCAAACCTTTTTAAGTCAAGCAATCACACATATTTACATTATATACAGACTTTCTTTTAGAATGGGGAGAGGTGTCTAGACAACATTATTACAAATTTCCTGAATGTGGGCATTTCTAATCCCTGTAATTCATAAAGCAAATCTGCTGACTTGGCATTAAGACTCTAAAATAGTGTGATCAAACTGATATATATATATATTATATATAATAAGGTGTTTGCAGAAATAACATTTACAAACTGTCTATACAGTACACAGTACTAGTACATAGAAAATAGAATCTAACTTTATGATCCCCTTTGTATAAGGCAAGACTGAATCTGTCCCCAAATTTAGTCAGCCAGAGGTACAAGCAAGAAACAGTGGTCCATGAATGAATGAATATGCCCATCAGGTATCTGGGTATTAAAAATCTGGAGAACCAAGAAATTCCACTTTTTAATCTGTGCTGCATCTGGCTTGCTGGATGTACATCAGCTACATTTCTTAAAACACCAATGTCGTCTGGACGGCAAAAATTTTGTTCATGTGGCAGCTACCCCAAACAGGTTTTGAAGAGTCTAGTATACAACCAGAGAACAACTGCTGTACCAGGCCAGTTTATATAGCACTTCCAAAAGAAAAGAATGGATATTAATACTCTATTTCATGCTATTGCTATTTAAGCAACAGCAATACAAAATATACAAGACAGATCACATGTGATTGCAATGTAGACCCCAAAGATTTTGTTTGAGGGGACTTGAGGGAGGGGGAGACAAAGGGCAAAAGTCATTGGCGGATGTAAACATCCCTATTCCATTCCCCAGCATCATTCCGCTTTTTGGATATTACTTCTCCATCCTTGTCACAGTAGCGATCCTTGGATTTATGACGGCTTCGTTGTTTGTTGCACTCATTGTGGTCCTGCTCTCGGTCTGTGTCCCTCGAACGGTGCCGAGACTCCCTATGTCTGTGGTCACTGCTCCCATGGATCTCATCTCTGTGGTTATGGTCACGATGTGGGGCATAGTGGTCCACATGTTCATGGGAATAATCTTCCTTTGGCTCCACATAGGCAGAGTCTCGACTCTCCTGGGTTTCAGAGTCAAAAGTCTCTTGCCTGGAGAGCCCTCGACTTGTACCACTGCGATGGTTGTGGTGTGTGGCAGAGGAGGAAGAACGATGCTGGGATTTCTTGACTGGTTCCAAACAAGGTTCTTCTTCAGCTTGGGAAGCAGAATGGGCAGGAGCTGAGCGATCAGTCCTCTGATCACCTTGAGAACCCTGGCAGTGAAGGGAACATGCAGACATTAACCAAGGTGAGTGTGTAAAGAACTAAGATGCAAGGCCATTCAGGTGTAGTTCTTTTTACATATCTGAAATGTTTAACCTAGGTCAAGTTACTTAGTTCCTTTGATAGTGTCACTGATAAGGTTTGTACTATATTAAACTGGACTTTATTGTGTGTGGAAAAGCAAACATACTAACCTTTTTTTTTATTATTTTAATGACTAATTGAAGGAGGGAGAAAGTTTTTATATATTGTAGTTCCAATGCAGGTGCAGGTCTGAGGTTTTTCTATATGTGGGTATATACTTCACAGCCTCTGTTGGAGTACATGTGAGTGGATTAAGAAAAAAAATAATTATGAAATGCTCAAATGGGACATGCCTGCATAGATACTCTTTACCTTAGTTCTAGGATGGTTGTACTAAATCTCCGGGGGGGTGGGGGAAAGATATGTTCACTTGCCATTATAATTCCAAGTCCACTGAGGCAAGAGCAGTTAAGGAACTTGCCCAGGGTTGTCCAGGTGGTCTTTTAGGATCATGCAGTTAGTTTTAAAGTCTGTATATGTTGTGTTCATAGTGCTTCTCTTCAGGTATACAACTTGGTGAACTTGAGAATCCAAGTGACTCACACTTCTTGTCTTAGTTAGGATAGCATTAGTACACGACAGCAGGCAGTGCTATCTGGGTTTGGGTCACAGTGGTGTCACCTTCGGCATCCCACTGTCTCCATACAAGATAACTCCCCTTACCTGTGAGTTAGAGGCTAGGGTGGGGCTCAGAGTTGAAGTGGCTAAGGTACGGCTAAGGAGAGGGTTGGGGAGGTTGCTGCTGGGAGGATGAGTGGCCTTCCAGTAGGCCTCCAGATAGTCTGCAAGGTGCTCACAAGCATCTTCAAGCTGGTTCTCATCCAGGATCACATCAAACAACTCCTGGGGAGGCAAATATGTAAATAACACACTAGCCCAGGACAGAGTTCCCACCACCCTCCACCTACTAGGGAGGAAGAGACTGATAAACCTGCACCACTTGATTTGCTTATGTGTTCTTTTATAAGCTAAGACAGCCAACAGAAATGTGGCACCTCAAATCCTTGTGTAAAACACTAAGTGAACAGGTGTCATAATAGTTGGTAAGGGTATAACAGTAAGGTTTATCAATAATGAAAAACAGTGAACTATGATAGGAGATATGAGAAAGAATAAAAATCTGAACAGTATAGGAAGAAGCCTGTTTTTGACATAGTGACTGCAGAAAGGTTTAATTTAGAAGTTAATGAGGTAATATCAGGATGTGAAATTTGACAAAAGCTGCTGAAGCACTCACAAATTGGCATGATTCAAACTTCATAGTAGTTTGTTAGAAAATACATGCCTGACTGTTAAAGGTTTTTAAAAATGTTTGTTGTTAATTTTAACATACTTCAAATCAACTTGATAACTTTTATAGCAGCACTTAATGGGGCGGGTAGAAGGAACTAGAAGAACTTTAATAGTTCCAAGGCAAATTATCCACTTAATGGATTAATAATTTGAATCTCCAGCCCAAAGAAATAGTTGGCTCACCATGGACTAACCTTCTGAACCTTGAACCAAAATAAATTTTACCTTAAGTTGTGATTTTTAGGTATTTTGGTCACAGTACTAAAACTTCCTTGGACAATTAAGAGTAGACAACTGGCTCCCTTTATTTGCTTCTGATCGCTCCCTTCTGTGATCAGAAGCAAATAATACACCAACCCCAAAGAGATCCGTCTTACAAATCAACTATGAGGCTGCAGTCTTGTAGTTGATATTTAAGTGAGTATACCATAAAGATGCACATAGGATTTTGTAAGCCATGATCATTATCTGGCTTATTAATGTGTTCAAAATGTGATCCAGGAAGCAGACAGTTTTTCTTTGGAGACAATACCACTGTAAACAATTAGGATTCTCTTCCCTGACAAGCATTTATTGCTTTTCCAATGAAATTCCAGGTCTGATGTCTTCAACTAGATTCTCCCATATACAGACAAAACTTACTGGAGGGCACTGAGCCAGTTTATCTGCTGCTACCATCTGGACATTGAGGTGTTTAGCTTGGGATTTCCCTCGAGATTTTATTAACCTTTGTAAAACCTGTAAAAGAGACAAGTTTTCAACAGAGGAATCTCTTCACTCAGGTAAACTACAAGGTACATTAGTGACTCCTTTATCTAGGGACCTTTTTATATATAACACATATGTTTATAAATAGATTGAGCTATAAAAGACAAAATCTCTACAAAGTCAGTATGCTAACATAAATCTTATTTGCATCTTTGCATAGAGCTTACTGTGTCCTTTCTAGCCTAAGTTTTCAAACTGTTTGCTTCATGACCTCTTCAGGTTTTTTAAAAAAATAAAAAACCCCAAGAGCTTTTATGTGAAATGGAAATAATAAAACAGCTACAATTAAATTTTTTTTGTAGTTGCAGATGGACAGAATGACTGTTCATTTATATGTGGTGCTAATGATCGAACCCAGTGCCTCACACATACCAGGCAAGCGCTCTGCCACTAAGCCACAGCCCCTAAAACAGCTATAGTTTTTGTCATAGAATACAATTATTCTGTATGCTTCTACAATGTATCATTTTGGTTGAAATATGCAAGAAAAATTTAACCTGCTACACAGTGTAAAAGGAGGAACATTTTAGTTGCACCCTTTTAGATAGGTGATATCCTTTGATGCTAAAATTCAACAAGTCGTCTCGCCTTTAAAGACTACTTGATATGTATTATCTGAAACCATATCACTGAACTTCTCTCTCATTAAGTTGCACTGGTCTGTCTGAAAATTTGGATGTTTGTAACATCATTTACTCATCATTTGGAAAATAATGGTTCACTGAGTTGATCAGATCTTCCCAAAACTGTTGACATTCATATTGAATTAAAACATGATACATGTTATATGCTCATTGGTAACACATGCTGTTGTTCTCCTTGAAGTGATTGGCTTATTATGTTCAAGAAAATACTGACTACGTACAAACGGTATTCCATGGGGGGCGGGGGGAGTAGCTAACTTTGGCATAGCCTGTTCTAATTGGAAAGCAAACATAAAACACATTTTAGTAAAATCTGGTTATAGAAAATCTAGCAGCAGTGTCCTCATAAATACTTAATTTTCATTACACAGACTCTAGACCCACAATTTAACTATAATAGCATGACGGTAATACAATGACTGTTGGTGCTGTTTACCCACAGTTGCTTTTTATCGTTTATGCAAATATATTTAAGGTTTACCTCATGTATCCACTGAAAGTGTCTCAACCCACCAGGGATCTATGGACCACACTTAAGAATTACTGCTTTAACCCATTACACTAGTGGTGTTTTGCTTATATCAATCATAAAAATTCCTGATAATATATTTTTTCAACCTCCACACCCATCATAAAGGCATAGCCTGTTCTAATTGGAAAGCAAACACAAAACACATTTTAGTAAAATCTAGTTATAGAACTAACAGCAGCAATCCTCCTTACCTTAGGAGACGAAATCTTTACATACACTATGATAGGGGCCAAAGATGTTTTACTGAGTTGAGCTGGATGATTAATAGTATCCGCATCAAGAACTACCAGTTGCAGTGTTCTTGCAAGTTCAAAGATCCTTTCGATTTCACTCTGAACTTCCGCTGTAAGAGGGTAAGCAGAGTTCAGTTATTTAAAAATGTCATTTTAAATGCTACATTATTTCTTCAAAAGGAAGGTCAGATCAGCCAGTTTGTGTTTATAGGCAGCACAATTTTGATCAGTTATTTTTTGAAAAGAGCTATTTCTTTATAATACCTTAAGAATTTCTAAAATTTCCTTCAGCATAACACTGAGAGCCAAATGTTTTTGCTCTCTGCTGACTCATTTTTCATTCTGTGGAATCATAAAACTATTATATCTTTATTTCTAACCACTTCACCCTAGCAGCCATTGCCAACTTTCCTGTCATTGCATGAGCTTATGTACATTTGTGTCCCCTATGATCATGCTGTTGAGATTTTATTAGCAAGCTGAACCACATGAAAGGTACCTATTACAAACTGTCCCCAAACACAAGAAATGGTCCTGCAACATTCATGCTTTATAAGGGCAGTTATCTATTAGAAGCAGCACTCAAAAACCTAAGCTATCACCAAACATCTAAAAATCTACTTGAGAAGCTAGGGATATAGTTCAGTTGGTAAAGTGCCTGCCTTGCATGCACGAGGCCCTGGATTCGATCCCAGCACCATAAAACAAACAAACAAAAAAGATCTACTTGAACTCCAAGAAATTGCATTCAGCTCATCTACTACTCTATGATCTCTCCAAAGATTCTAAAACCTGTGATGATGAAAATATTATCCATGCTGCCTAATATGGTAGCCTAGCTGCAGGACACTTAAAATATAGCTATTATAAATAAGTAACTGAATTTTTTAAAGTTTTATTTTAATAATTAGCCAGAAGCTGCTAGACTGCATAGGCCTGTAAATTATAACTTGTAGTTTTCACTGCAATTATTGGAAGATCAATTTATAAGACTCCTTTAAGCCAGCAAACTTGGTCCTATGAATACCTTTGATTCCTCTTATGCATCTGCATTCATACCAGAAGATTCCTAGAAATAATTTTAACTGGCATATTATTCCAGAAAAGCAAGTCATTAATCATCTGACCTCACAGTGTTATAAATAGAGACCTCTTATTTACCTGAACTTCTTTAAGGAACCAGAGCTCAACATACTAGCTTTAAAATAATATTTGGTGACATAATGCCCATAATAAGGTCTTGCTAAAAGAAAAAAAATACACATTGAACTTCCAAATTAACTAGTTTGTAAGAAACAGACTCACATAAATTATCTCAGTGTAATACAGTTAGGAAAATTTGGACTGTCAGTGCCTTACAGAATAAGTGACAAGGAAAAGATGTATGCAAACCTGAGATTTAAGAGATCTGTGAACTATGATGTATAGATTTCATTTGAATCCTGATTTAGTCAAGTAGTAATTATAATGCACAAATGAAGAAACTCAGCAAATTATGTTCGAGATTTGCTTCTAAATATCTAGGGATGGTTGTTGATGGAAGAAGGGGCCGAACTATAAATGAAACAGGAATAGTGTCTTTTGCTTTGCAGCTACTTGAGAAAAGTATTCCTGGCATGCTAAAGTACCACATCCATCATTCTGCTAAAACGTCACTTCCTCAGTGAGGCCTTCACACTATAAAATTGTACCCTCCTTCTCAGCTTACTCTACTCCCTGGCCTGGTACTACTTCAGGACTCATCATCCATTGACTAATGAATGGTCTGTAAGTTTTTTACCTTGTCTCTCCCATGAGACAAAAATCCCTAAGACCAAGAATTTTGTATCCTTCTGTGTCTCTGGCACTTAGAATAATGCCTATCACATGGTTGGTTCCCAAGTATTTGTTAAATGAATGGACACAAATCTCTACATGGTTCCCTAATACCTTAAGCGCCTTAATATTTTACCCTTGCCTATTCTTTGAATGATATGCTGCTTCAGCCAAAGTGAAACATGTTTATATATATATATATATATGTATATTTTAGTTGTTGATGGACCTTTATTTTTCTTTCTTTATATGTGATGCTGAGAATTGAACCCAGTGTCTCACACATGCTAGGCGAGCACTCTACCACTGAGCTACAATCCCAGCCCCCCCCCCCCCCCCCCCCCCCGTGAAACATGTTTTCCAGAAGCCTCTTGTTAGCTCTCACTGTCCCAAATCGCCATCATTCCCTTTTTTCTTGACTGAAGTACCATGCTTCAAGTCTCAGCTCAGACCAGCTTCTTAGAAAACCTTCCCTTATGGCTTTTGTCCTCTATTCCATTGAGCTCTTATGTTTACCTTATTGCCATTAAGCTCCTAGGAGGAAGGGCTTTATCCAATTCATCTTTTTATTTGACTCTTCAACATAGTGGTTAGATACCATTTAAAAATAATGTATACACAATAGCTTTAGAAAGCAATGATAATCTAAATGCATCTCATTAATTCAATAGTAAGTCTAATTAGTTAGCTATCAGTTGAATCTATGAAAATGATCATTTTATAACAATTCCTGTGAGCAGCCAATAATGAGAGTAGTTGACAGATAAGGATTCATTGGTGAAGAATTGTTTGATAAGGGATAAAACAGTTTTATAAAGTACCATAACTAACCTTTGATTTCTAGTAGTTTTTCTACTTACATAATCTTACATCAGAGTAAACTAAAAACTTCTCTGTTAAAAGCTTGCATCCCAAAGGATTTGTGTATTTAATATATAAATGAAAAAGAACTATCTAAAGGTTAAGTATCTCACATAACCCTTGGAAAATTTACTTTATAAAAATATAAACCTCACAATCCAGTTAAATGTGTATCAGTGATTAAGCATATGTTTCAAAGAGATGAAATAGTTGGGAAGGGTCTGAATTTAACCAGTATAGGTTAATAAGCAATTTTCAGACACTACTCTGTAAACAAATTAACCAAAACTCCTATACTATTTTTACAAATAAACGATATTGGTGTCAATGGAGAATAGCCCTGAATTTACTTCCTCATTCTCACCACGTACACAAATTACATTATTCTGAATGTGATTTCATTATTGATAATTCAAATTCTCAGCTCCTATTAGTGAAAACAAACCACAACCAAAACATCAGTACTGACAGCACGTGGAATTTTTAACTTGAAATATAAAAAATCTTTCCACACAATAAAATCAAGATTGTACCACTAGCTACTGACAACATATGCCCCTTTGTTTGTAGAGTACATGGAATCATCATCTGGCTAGATCTCTTCATTGTCATTCTTAGGAAAGCAATGTTCACATAGCTTCAGCTCATCAGTATTGCAGACTTACCTAAGCTTGATCTTGTGTTGGATCTTTCTATTATTGCATGCTTACTGGGATTGTTTAATACTGAGCGTTTGGCAAGGGAGATGTCAGCAGTGACCCTTGTGATAGATATCCTGTTGGAGAAAAAAGTAACAAAAGAGCCTAAGGTTGTTAATCTTACAAAAGGGAATTGAAATATTTGCCCAATCTTCCCAAGAATGAAATATATATAATTTTTATATAACTATTATATATAACTATTTTCCAACCATATGTTAGGATACTTCATTGTACCTTTTTGCTTATCCTGTACTTGCCTCACTTAACATTTATTGGTTGTTTACAAGTGCTAGATATGTACTAAACACTTTACATGAATTTTCTGATTAAATTATTCCAAAAATTTTTAGGAGAGAAGTTTAGTGTGTATTTACTAAATATACAGATTTAAACCCAGACTTCTGAGCCTATATTCTTAGGCCCTGCACAATATGTAATCATGAAAAATAAATAAGATCAAGGCAAATCTGATCTTCCTTCTAGTGGCAGAGATGAAGAATAAAGCAATGAAAGATTATGATGATTATTGTGAAGAGAACATATAACGTATTGTTACAGTGAGTGAATTGAGGTAGGTTCATTTTAGATAGGGTAGAAATGAGCAAAAAGATCTGGAAGTGGAACTAGTAAATGATATATTCCAAAAAAGTATTCAATGAGTGTTCAAGTTGGAAGGAGAAAAAGCTATGAAACAAAATTGAATGCTGACAACATCTTTGAAGAGGATGGTGAAGGTAGGACTGATTTAAAAATCAGTTTTGCACCACTAGCTACTGACAGGCCTGATTTAAAAATCTGCTTCAGAATTAGAGCTCGCCACAAAAAGTGGCCAGGTGAGAGTTCTTTTCCTATCTTGTATGAGACCACAAAGTATCCGCAGGCAGAAAGAGTGCCACTGATCAGTGAATTTTGGTAGCCAGGCTTATGTTTATATCCTCGAGGTGTAAGAAAGGAAGACTGGGCAAACTGCCAAATAATAAAGGCATAAAGATGTGAGCTGGGGTTGTGGCTCAGTGGTAGAGCACTTGCCTAGCATGTGTGAGGCACTGTGTTTGAGTCTCAGCACCGCATATAAATAAACAAACAAATAAAATAAAGGCCCATTAATAAATTAAAAAAATATTATATATACAGGCATAAAGATAATGTATATTGGACGTCTTCTATGTAAATTATCCATCAAGACTGTCCTATAGGTGAGCACAAAATCGGCAAACTCCATTACCAGCACAGAACTTCTAATTAATTAATTTGAGACAGCAGTGTTTACTAGGCATCTTAGGAAAACATTTTACATTAGGGGCCACAACAAACAGAAAGGTCATCCATTAATAAGGAATTATTATCTACGAAACTGGAATAAAGTTGTTTAAAAACAAAATAAGGAAGATGTTTTAGAAATTAAAAGTGACAGTAGGAAGCAAAATTTAAAACAGAGTTAAGGGCATCTTTAACAAAAAAGCCAAAGAGATAAAACAGAAGAAAGCTAAGAAAATTAGAACTGCCCAGGAAGTTCAAATTCCAAAGATTAGGAGTTGAGAGAGAATAGGTAAAAGGAAATAATTCCAGAATTAACAGTCTGATTTTTCAAATTGAAAGCATCTAGTGTAGTGATTAAAAGATCTACACTAAATTTTATAAATTTCACAATATATATGGGACAAAGAGAAAACTAAAAGTTTCCAGAAGAAAAACAGGACAGGAATTGAAGTGCTTTGTATTTCTTAAGAACAACAATGGAAACCAGAAGTTAATGGAGCAAAGGCTTTCAAAATTCTAAAGGAAAGCTATTCTAGTCAGAAAGCCCTGACCATTTAAGTCAACAGTTAAATGGGAAGGTTGATTATAGACAGTTTTAGGGCTGGGGTTGTGGATGAGTGGTAGAGTGCTCACCTAGCATGTGCGAAGTGCTAAGTTCCATTCTCAGCACCACATAAAAATAAATAAATAAAATAAAGGTATTGTGTCCAACTACAACTAAAAAAATAGACATTAAAAAAAGATTTTTTTAGACATTTCGGGTATACAGTTTTATGAGTTTGTACCAGTTTATAGAATTCTTCGTCCATCAGTGCATTCATGACACACAGGATTATCTAATGACTCCACAGTTCCCTTGTGCTGCCCCCCTGTAGAGAATCCTTCCTCCTGTCCCACTCTGGCAACCATAAAACTATTAACTGTCCCCATATGGTTTTGACTTTTCCAGAATATCATATAAATAGAAACATATATTTAACTTTTCAAGTTGAGCTTCTTTTATTTTACCTAACAGATTTGAGATTCATCTTCATTGCTGTAAGTCTACTTGATTTTTAAAATTTTGGGGCTTTGATGAAAATTTGAGCATTTAAAAAGCAACAACTAAGCCTGGAATTGTAGCTCAGCAGTAGAGTACTTACCTAGTGTGTGTGAGGTCCTGGGTTTAAGTCCTAGCACCACAAGAACAAGAAAAACAACAACAAAACCCAATAATAAACCCATGAATTTAAAAAATAATTTATTATTTCAGAATGCATTCACAAGTGAAATCAGGCTAGAGGTAGGAAGAATCATTGCTCACCGATTATTATAAAATTCCTGTTTACTTGGGGGTTGGTGTGGAATGTAAAGGGAATTTTCAGCTGTAATGCATGTAATAGGACTCCTTTATTCTGAATACCTGCATAGTGCAAAGATAGTCATTACTTCCATCCATATTTGTGGAGTACCAATTATGTGTCGATCATTATTCTAGGTGCTGTTATGGAACTTACATTCTTACAGAAGAGGCAGAGAATGGAGAGAAGCAAACAGATATCTGATGTCAGGTTATGATAAGTGCCACTGGCAATGCAGAATAGTAAGGATGAAGATGGGAATGCTGTGAAGGGTTTAATTAAATGTTCAGAGATGATCTTTCAGGTAAGGGGACATTTGTTGGAGACCTGAGGGAGGGAGGGAATGACCTGGTATATTATTATGGGATGGGAGTTCCTAGCAGAAACAAGAGTGAGTACCTGAAGTATTAGGCACTTGATTATTATAACTGTTTGAGACCTGAGCACGGCTGATGACCAGAGCTCTAGTTATGAGCCTTGAAAGAGCTCTGCAAACTCATGGGGAAACAGCTGCCCTGTGATGATGACATTCTAGGGAAACAGACATGACACTGCTCAGCCTGGTTTCTGTTGACCTGCTTATGTGGTTATCTGCATATGCTACATGAGACAGGCCATTATCTGAGCTCTTAACAGTCATGGTTTGGGCATGAAAAAACCAAGCAGCAGACCTTGAAGATCTAAATAGCAAAATTCATAGGAACAGTTCATTTTAGAGCAGTGAGTCTCAACTCTCATGGTACGTCAGAATCACTATATATACTTCTATAGTTAGGAATGCCCACAACCTGCCCCAGAGATTTGATATTAAATAGTCAAAGGTGGCATATGGCCCCTTGAATTCTTTTAATATGCTTCAGGTGATTCTGATACGTACCCAAACCAGTTTTGAAGATGTTTTCTTACACCAGAAAAAAAAAAAAAGTGATACAATGTTTCCCAGGATTATTGATTTCCAATAAGGTTACTCACACAAGATTCTGGCCCTGGTATACAGTATCTCTATAGCAATTCAGTACACATTCCTAACACTTCAGTACTGATGGCTGACATTTTAAAACTCACTGGTGGAGAAAACAGTTTGTCCCAAATGTTTGTTCATGATTTTGTTAATTTACCTTTCATTGTCCTACAAGGTGAATCTGGAGATTGTTTTGTTGACATGACACAGTTGGTTAGGGGCTATTCTATTGTACACAACAAAAAGAGGATGATTTATCATGTCTTATTTGATCTGACACATGAACAAAACACTAATAACCGGAAGAGTGATTCCAACAGCTCTCCAGAGCGTCCCACAAATTAAATTAACTGGATTTCAGAACAGAAAAAGAATTCCCAAATACCTAGAACCTTTATTTTCTCCCGTATGGGCCTAAAGGAATAATCCATTTTTTCCCTTTTAGAATATAATGGATACACATTTAGCTGGCACCTTCTGATGATTTTCTACTTTCTGCTGTTGTATTGCCAAAAGCAAAGAGAGTTACTCTGCATGTCTCATTATGGGGGAAAACATTATAGCTTTTGAAATTCTATCTATGGACTTTGTTACTTCCTTGTGGATCTTTAATTGGTGGTGAACTCCAGCTCTATGACTCAAGATGGCCCAAGGCAGGTCCATTAGTAAAGCCATATGGAAGTTACTTCTGGTAAGAAGCAGTAGATGATCCAATATTCAGATACTTTGTTTCCTAAATGAAATCAATTTGCATGACTGATACCACAGAACACAGGTCCGAGATACGCATCCTGACTGGAATCCACCCTCCAATCCAAATCATAGTATGGTTACATAGAAGTGGTAAATCAGTAAATTCCATTCCATTTTAGGAAAGGGCAGTGAGTTAACATATTCATGACAGTACAGTTTCTATTTTAGCAGAATATTTTAGGTGTGCATGTTCATGTAGACAATTCCAAATTGTGAAAAATGACAGAACTGAGAATAAAGAAACAATTAGGCAGATTAGATGTATGCCTTTTATACTTAACCAGTGCCTGCTAGTCCCAGGTCAAACCAAAAGCCATTTCCTGGCACTTACTAAATGGAGCAATAAACATCTAATTAGCATTGATGTAGGTAGACAAGAATATATTTTTTTTTGTATTTAGAAAGAGGAAAACTAGTTTCAATTCCTTTTATTTTTTTGCTTGATCGCTTACTCATATCTGTCCTGCCGTAAAATTTCCCTCCCTACTCTTGCCTTCCCTGTCAAAAACCAATATAATGGCTGAGGATGTAGCTAAAGCACTTTCTTAGCATTTTGAGTCCCTGGCTTCAATCCCTAGCACACCCTGCCTTTAAAAAACAAAACAAAAAAAAGGTCAATGTAAATTAGAATGACAGGAGGAATAAGTATGGTCTAGAAAATATTAAGAAATTTAATAGAACACTAAAAACTGACTGATACTGTCTCTTATATTGTTGGGATCAGAGAAAGGAGTGAGGCAAAGAGGCAGCAAATTTATCT